AATCAATGACTTTATCAATGAATGATAAACGCATTTTTTTTCAGCTACGATAGGTACGACCATAGAAGAGTTCTTCTAGACAAGAAGAAATTGATAGCACGTGATTTACTTGGTGCTGACTGTTCGGAGTAAGTCAGATACTTTCCTTTTAATTAAATTAGTGCTCAGACTGGGACACTACTGACAATACCAGATAATAAAAGTGTAGTTGCTTTATCTTATTTATTTCTGCTTTTATTCTGTTTATATGTTCATATGACTTATACACTCGTCGCAGACATTGCGAAATAAATATATATTTACATCATTTTATTAATTATAAAAGATCATTTCCATAATAAGTTATATGATATTAAATTGGGCCTTTAAAGTTTTATTTAAAGTTATCCGACGGTGATGTCGTAGTAACATTTTCCACTAGTTTTATCAGCAACTACTATGCCATTCACGTGCATTGATATAAATTTATTGTATTAGTTCCCCGACGGTGAATTATTGTGCACGGGGTATTTATTCATGTTTTACATACTTTTCTTTTCATGCTTAATTGTTAAGGCGGGAAATTCTTGCTACAGATTGGGAAATTTTATATGTTGTAAGGACGTGAATAAAAGGAATAAGTTAAGACTGATTTGTAAACAATCAAAGATTGATAGATGAATATTAATGTTTGTTAAATTAAATAGTTGGATTATATTTGTGATTGATTAATAGTAATCATGTTAAGTAAAAATAGATTGAAATGAATTAATATCTAAAGAGATATATGTGTTTATGTGTTTTCTTTCCAATGTCTTGGATTATTAAATATTATTAAAAGGTCACGACAAAGGTCAAGTAAAAAGGTTTTCTTTCTTTTCCCAGTGTATTATTTCTTTTCTTTTTTGTTGTATATAACAAAACAATGGCAGTAATAATTATATTGATAAGTTTGAAAATGCTTCCTAGCATAAGAGTACCAATTAACTCTCCATATAAACCTCAACAAATAAAAACATTATGCATATTCGGATATCAAAATTAGGATTACTTTGGTTACTTCAAAAACAAGTATTTAAATATATTCTAGTTAGCTGTACGAACATATTTGTATATTGATTTCATTATTCGGAAAAAAATGGAAATATTCCTGAGAAAATGAATAACACTGCTGCATATGAAAATTACAAACTCACTCGGATAAAAAAAAATTCCATAAAAATAAAGAATACTAGTAGTGTATCATGTCTAGAAATTATTTTTGTTTTAGACAATAATGAATCAACCTAATTTATCAAATTAAAAATTCAGAAAATAAAATTCAAATAAGACTCAATAATACCGACAGAAGATTTATTGTGTTTCCCGCTGTCAAATTCTAATATACAAACACGATCACCCAAACTACTTGACTTTTCAAAGTGATACTTCATCTTTTGAATTATGTTATAATAATAATTATATTATAACCAGCAACTATTTTTCTATTTAAAAATACATATGTTTAATCATATATTATAGCAAATTTTAGTTCATGTAGGACTACTGTAGAACTGAAATAGTTCACGTTAATTGTAGAATTAAAAGTACGGATAGAAAAAGTAAGGATATTAATAAGAAATGAAAATACTAGCATCTATCAAATATATTTATTTTATTGAGTATTTCCTTTTCAACATTTAAACAATTGAGGACGATATGAACAACGATTCCTTTAGTCAACATACAATTTTTGTTTTACAGTAGACATCAAATTGACACGAACAAGTCATGGAATGATTAGGCCTATCCGGTGAAATTGATCACACTGTTTAAGTTTAACTGAATATTCTCAACGGCATGGTGCCGTCGCTTGTCCTACTGCTTGTATAATGCATGGCGCTGTAGAAATACAGGCGATCGAACGGTTACTATCATACAGGAGATGACATCTTAATAGACAGTGATTTGGGTCACAACCAATAGGAATAGTGTGGTTACAATGTGCGTCACCGTTATCGTCATAATACCAAGGACACGTGGAGCGTTCACTCAAAAAACATATCGTCTGCACGGTTGATCTCTTTGAAATATTCTTCAAAACGTCCGAAATATTCATTTCTTCCATGTGTGTATCGATAATACCACCAACAGTTGAAACATTAGTGGCTGTTTCTGGTGATGTTTTATTTTGATTCCAATGGTAGGTAGAAGCATGTTGTTTGTCTGTTTTTAATAATTTAGATGGAGTATTTGTTTCACCTAAAATAGCCATGTCATCTTGTGACTTTTGAAATTGTGTTCTGTTTAAAGAAGGATTAAATTTAGACTTGATCAATGCAAGGATTGTGTTTATTCTTGTGTGATTCGATTTTTCAACCTGGACTTGTGGCGACGATTTCTGGTCACGTAAACTTTTAGATTTATGTGTGATCGCGAGTATTAAAGTCCATGATAAGACAGACACAACTATTCTGCTGACAAACATCTTCATCTCTGAAAAAGTAAAGGAGAAAAACGTAAATTATTAAGACCTAAAGCACATCTATAGTTAAACATTTACCTTTACTTTTAATAAATCAAAACATAAATCTAGCGAGATAAATGTATTGAAGAGAACAAACCTTTAAATAACCGTTTTCGTTCTCTAGAAGTCTCTAGATCTTTCTTTTACTAAATTTGATTTCAGGCTTATGATTATCTTCACCACGAATTTTGTTTTCTAAACTAGGCAAACATCTCTTACAGAAGATATTGAAATACAAATCTGTTGACCATTTGTTACATGTTTTATATGCTTTTCTTCGGAAGCTAAGCTGATGGATCTATAATTAGGATGTATGCATAATTGATAATCTAAACCAATTAAAATTATTAAGTGTAATTCTATATATTTGTTTAAAATGCAATCTACGGATCCCCTGGTGTGGTTTTAAATACATGGAGAGGGAAAAGTGATAAAAACACCGCAAATGTTTACATCTTTACAGTAAACTTGAACAGATAATTTATGCAAATAGCTTTATTTTACCAATTGAATCACTCAGATATGTTCCAGTGTTTGATGCAAGTCTCCAATGAATCTTCATTGGATGTACTCATATGTTTTTCTTCAATATACAAATATTGGTATATGTCACGTCTCACGCACGAAAGGTTTTCATAAACAAATTAATGTATGAATTTCTATGACTATGTACAACAATTTTCGAAGTAACTAATGTTTCTTAACATTGACTTAATTAAATTAAATTTTTACAACAAATTGTATTAATACCACTCATCTTCGAGGAAAAATACTATGGTATCACTGATATAGGACCCTTGATAGACGCTTCACATATATAAAAGGCCAATACTATTTCTCAAATTTTTCTTTTGATATCTTGTTATAGTTTTCCAAAACTTACACATTTTCCATGTACATGAACCATCTTTTGCTATGTTTGCTCTGTTGTTATAGTGAATTGGTATTTTGAATGGAAGTCAAATGTATCTTTGTTTACGTTTTGCTACCTTTACGACACATTACTGTATGTTAGCGCTACATTTTCAATTGTTAAACATCTCACATGCTCTAAATTTATCATTTAAACATTTTCAAACTTATGTTTGACATTTCTAAAGATAAATCTTAGGAAATATAAATTTCTTAGGCATAATGTGTTTTTAATCAAAGCACTGAAAGTACTGTTAGAGTGATTGTTACTGAGGACATGAGTATTATTAATGAATGCAGAGTAAGTACTTTGCTTACCATATGTCACGTCTTTAACATTTGCAAACACGAAGGAAGATGACATTGTTGCTACAAAATAACTTCAATTGCATTTTAAAAAGAACAGTTAATGAAACACCGGTGAATTTAAAAGTAAGCAATTTTCAGCATTTCATTTTTTTTATTAATAGAGGGGGGTGGCGGCATTTACTTACATATTTTCTTTCGATTTTTTAAGAGATGTCGGTTTGTCTAACTTGCCACTACATGGACTGGGATGAACTTGCTTTAGGATGAATGAAATACTCCGTGAACGTTTTGGTAGCACACGACACTTACTAAAATATGACAACAAAATTTTCAAGGAAGGGCGGCGTTCAATGAACGCACCCCCCCCCCCTCCAAAAAAACAAAAAAAAAACAACAACAACAACAAAAAAATCAGCAAACAGGACAACCGGCAAGGAGCCCAGCAGGACTATGCAGACTGGGCACGGATGAGTGAGGTGACACCGGCCGTTAACGCCGAACAATCCTTTGAGGATGAAAATATAACAACATTGATTGCATGTACGGGGATACTTTTTACAACCGCCTCACGGCACAAACAACACGGTTGTGAGCATAAAATATGAAAACGAGATCATCAAGGAAGGGCGGCGATCAATGAATGCAAGCCACAGTTTAGAATGGCAGGGAAGAGTTCTCGGTATGGTGTCTATTCTTTAAAGTACTTCTACATCATTTTCAGGATTAAAGTTGTTTTTGTGGCTTTTTGTGCATATGAACTATAAAAGATTAAAAAACATGGTCAGAAATCACATGCTGTTTATTGTAAATTTTGTAAATGTGCATGAAGCCATTTTTTACATTCAAGGGAGAGTTGGGGGAGGGGGCATACAATTCTGGTTTTCTACGGAATGAATCGAATTTTTTTAACTGCCTGAGTAATGAAAATGGGATAATTTCATTATAGATTGCAATGTTATGACATGTTCTCAACAAAATATGTTTTCTTTTTCCAGGTTTGTGAAGTGTGTGATTAATGGCTTCTAGATATTGACGGCAGGAACTTTCAATTGAGTGTGGGGTACTATCTAAAATTGTTTGACCTAAACAGCAAGTTAATAAATTAATCTCCTTTGTGAAGCATACTGGTACTGTTGCGAAGAAAGACTAAGCAGTAAGCCTCCAGTAGAACTAGATGTTCTATATTGTTAGTGAACTATTTATATAATTTCTTCGTGTGATATAATTTTTAGCGGGAATATTAACCACATCGGCGGTTTTGCGTTTAAATGCGATGAAAAGGATAAACTACATGGAAATAAATTAACAAATTTATTTTCGCTAACTATATATGATAAACATGTTAACATTTAACATTTTTTTGTAAACAATAAATAAATAGATTTTTATATCTGTAACAATGTGATAAATAGCTTGTAAATGTTGACTGATAAAGATATAATGATAAAACATAAATAAACAATTTCTGGGCACATCTATATAACAATTCAATAAAATAATGTGAAATAACTTATTAATTGGCACGTCAATGCAGCAATCCGAAGTATATATTAATTAATAAAAAGCAGTTTATGGACAAAATGAAGGTCTTCTAAATACAAATGGAATATCAGAATAATATTGAATTCTACATGTACTGGGTATATGTGGATACAAAACAAAACTATCACAGGAACGTATATTTTTAGAAAATAAGAACATTTATAAATATTAATATGTATAGTGAAAAGCGTTAAAACTTTAGTCATTACTAACCGCATGCGGATAATATTTAAGTCAAGTATAAAAAAACTCTTAGTAACTTTAGGCTTGAGGATAAACAAAAATGTTTTATTTTATTTTGCCAATAATTTCTAGAGTGCAGATATTCGTACTCTAATTCTAATACAAAGACAATCTTGTCTGAGATTTTTTTTTAATTCAGAGTGTTTTCTGTTTAAGAATTGGTGGCGTGAATTGTTCATAATATATTGTTGGTTATCATACTGATTTCACTGGACTGAAAATCTAAATTTGTAATTCATTATGGTACTCAAAAATGTGTAATAATCTAATAATATTTGGGTGTTTTACCGCGGGTGATATGGATTTCTTCATAAGGATAAAACCCGGTGTCTCATTGGTAAGCATAAAATAAATAATTTTATTGTTATAACTATCTGAACATTGTATTTTTTACCTTATATACACAATGTTGATATGTGGGTAAAGAATTTTGGTCATTTTGGCTAAATTCCTAAATGAATGAAGCATATTTTTTGTTTTGTTCTGTTGACACACCTCTCCACTTTTATGCATGTACATATGTATTGTTCAAAAGACATTAGTTTAACCAAGAGCAAAGTTCAAGAATTGTACATTTGAGATATAACAATTGATCCTTGCATAAATAAATAAGGTTACATTTTTACATTACTTCATTAAAATCACACTGGGAAAGCAAACATAATTAAAGAGAAAATATTAAGGTGGAGAAACATAACGAGTAACATAATGAAACAGAAAATATTAAGGTGGAGAAACATAACGAGTAACATAATGAAATAGAAAATATTAAGGTGGAGAATTATAACGAGTAACATAATTAAAGAGAAAATATTAAGGTGGAGAAACATAACGAGTAACATAATTAAACAGAAAATATTAAGGTGGAGAACCATAAGGAGTACCATAATGAAAGAAAAAATATTAAGGTGGAGAAACATAACGAGTAACATAATTAAACAGAAAATATTAAGGTGGAGAAACATAACGAGTAACATAATTAAACAGAAAATATTAAGGTGGAGAAACATAACGTGTTCGTCCATGTATTCTACTGGTACATGCGCATGCGTAAGAAACCGGTTCCCATACCTGCAAATAAAATTACAAATATTGTGAAAATTTGAAAGACTGATCAATTCAAAGATCACTTATAGATAAAGGAACTATATGAGTTGATATTGCTCATAATATGATAGTTTTACTGCATCTATCTTAAAACCAATTTCCCCTGGACTATTTAATTTCAAAATAATAATCATTTGTAATGTAATGTAATGATAAATCTGTGAAAGGTTAACGCCTCCTACTCACACGTGTTATTTACAGGACATCTGAACTGATTAAATCCTACGCTCAGTTTTAAATGTTTTGTATTATACATCAGGCACAACTTTTTTATAACCTTGTAAAACACAGATGTTTACACTATAAACAGTTGACATATGGTTCTAATGTGAGAAGCAAGTACCTGTGCATATAAAATGTTCCCAGAGCTTGTCCTTCCAATGACACGCCGTACTTGAAGAAAATAGAACAAAGGTGTGCATCGTCTAGGTGTATGGTAGTGAACCCATGGTGCTAGGCAATGTAAACATCTACACAGAACCTTAATGTCGAAACATATCATTGTTATTTAATGCTGATAATAATACTCGTAATAGCTCTATACGTTTTTCATTACTCAGCTATTTTTTTATTATTGATGTACTGTTTTGCCAGGACTAATCTGTAAAGCCGACATAATTATCGAGTTCTTGCATCAGTTATACATTTATTTGATTTAAGGCACATCATGTCCCAGAATGCTTTTATTTTTACTTATCAATAGTGTTTTTCTGGTATCCTGTTATAGTTGCCAAAGAATTATTCTTTGGCTAATTGCCTGAACCATATAGTTTGCTTCTGTTGCTTTTTTTGGCAACGAGTTAAGTTATAGTGAGTTTTTATTTTATATGAAAGTCAAAATACTACTTTGTTTACATTCTGCTGCTTTTATGACAAATAATTTCCCATCAGTGCTTCTTCATTAGGTGATATCCTTCTGACATACTATAAAACCATTACATAAATGTTAACGAACTCATGTTTGTTCTTTCTAAAGAAAGAAAAATATATTGGTTTGCCAGCGAAACGTGGGGATATAATGTATGTATACTCATGACCTATATAATATTACATGTCTTACGATATTATATTTGAGCGGACCATATTTTCATTTCTGATCTTTGCGGAGAAATTCTTCTTGTTATACGGGTCTACCTGCACTGTCAATATGCCAAATATGACTAAGAAGAATATTGTATATGCTAGGTAACAAAATAGCCAAATTACCTGATAAAGAGCGACTGGTTCTCTATTAACATCAACATCTAGAACCCTATATGAGGGACACACTTTAATTGTTGTTGTGTTAAAATCAGAAAGAGATGGGCAGCTATGTCTGTGCGACATTATAAAATCTTGTTCAACAAAATGTTTGTCTATTTCCGAGAATGGCATTAACAGTTCACTGTTTTCATATGAGATATCGCCGATCATTCGTGCTCTGAAACAATATACGACAAGTGTATGATATTTAGAAAATGTTATACTTAAACAAGTCAAGATAAGATGCATGTACAATTATTTTTATCATTAATTTCATATTTTTTATTGAGATATTTAAGAAACGTTGCCAGTATCGTTATCTACCAGTTTGGTGTTGCAGGAACTCCTTTAATTAAATAATATAACATCCTCTATAACCAACATTTTAAATGTTTCTGCGTTCTTTTCCCTATATTTCTATGATAATGTATATGTCCTCTGGAATTATTATGCATATGTATAGAATATACATGTACATATATGTAGCATGATTACTGGGATGTTTTTTTCTAACTGCAAGCTTGCACTGAGAATAAATTTGTTTCAGTTGTCACATTTTGAGATAAATAAAGCAATTGTTTTATGCAATCTACGTCTAAAATCTGCTCATTTTTATTTCATCACCTGACACTATTACATGTTTGCATAGGAAGCAAACAGGAACATAGCTCCAAAATCAAGTATAAAAAATATACTTAAACAAAAGCTTTTCTTACTTTCTTGACACAATTTGTTGATTGTGTTGTAATATAGCCCTGTCACGTGACAACAGGTAATATCTCGACACTGATATGGCACGAGTGGGGTTCTGCATGACATAGAACAAGGTAAGCAGGAAGAATGTATTTATCTTAGAATACCAACAGCCTGGCACCGCCTGCAATATAATATTCAAATTACATGTTTGCATGTTTTAAAAACAAAGGTCCATATTGCATAATTATATTCATACTAAGAGGAGCAATGACCTAATCTAAAACAGATTTATCTATCGGACTACTGTATGTCAATGCGCGACAAATGCAGCTTCAGTATATTTTAATTAAGGGAACAGTAACATTTATACAGGCATTATGAACACCGAACAATGAAAAGCTCTCTCATATCATATGGTAAATGTTTGGAATGTATAACATATACTTTGTGCTTATTCTTAAGCGCTTTAAATACTAACATAATGTGTAACAAGTATCTCAAGACCCAACCACAAATCTCAAATAAAAATGATACTGATAATAATAACATTATCATTATTATTGTCGTTCTTATTATTATTGTTGTTATTATTATTGTTGTTGTTGTTTTCTTCTTTATAGAAAATTATAGAATATCGAAAATATTTCCACAGTTCAAATTTGAAGGCGTATCCCAAGATTACATAAAACAATACCTTAAATTTTAGTAAAAAAATCTTTCTAGTTTTTAAAATAAAATACCATGAAATCCTTATTAACTATTATACTGTATGATGATTTAGAATAAATAAAGAAAACATGATACAATGCAAATAAAACAAGGGGAATAAAAGATAATCGGCGTAAAATCAATAAATGGATTAAGTCCAGAATGAAATGAATTGATATATCAATTGTGATAATTAGCGATCTCAATATTTTAGGTTAAATCTATCTATTTATTATTTCTATTATTAATTTTCAAATTTAGATATAGTTTGCTATTTTATATAAAAATCACTAGTTGTGTCAGCAAATAAACAATGTGTTATTGTCCCTTTAGTACCTTAGAACGAAGAAGACAACTAGCTTTCAAGAAGCCTAAAATCTGTTATACAACACATTATATAATTCACAATATAGGGATAATTTACAGTGAAAATGTAAGGAAAAAAATATTTTTTTTTCATAATAATTATTAATTAAAATACAGATCCATCAGGTTTTTCTGAATATTTTTTCTTGATATTCAATCGCAATGGTATTGATAATTTGCAAAATTGCGGCAAAACTATTGGATAAAAATAGTGATAAAGTGGACAGATCACATGAAGATAAATTTGAGTTAATGAACATTCAAAATTTTGTCTCCTTCAACTATTTTTTCTTGTTTTCAAAGATACATAAAATGATGTTTATGCTAAATGTCATAATGGAATTAAAATGATTTGAAATATTGCAATTTTAGATTAATTATTTTGAGTATATTTACAAAAATATTTACAACATGTTCTTATAAGAGTTGATCTTTATGTCGTTTCTTGTTATTACTTTTTTCTTTTAATCTTTCATTGATAAAACAGAAATGAACACTCTAGCTCATTCATAAATACATACTATAATACATTTACTTTATCATCATCATTTAAATTGTTCACTCGTGAAGAACACTATGCTGAAAAAATGGCAAAAGCCTGTAACAACCAATTCTTGAAAAAAGTTTCATATTTTATATTGGTGATGAACATGGCTTTTGAAAATTGGCTAAATGAACCATTTTTTTATAACCAGAATATAGTATTTGGTGATAAAAGTGTGTGTGTGAATGTTTTCTTATTACAAATCTTGATACTTAAAAAGTGTTACATGTATTAATGACATTGTTTGATAAAGATAATATAATCTATATAATCTTGACTTAAGATAAATTACAAAGTCTGTTTGGTTTGAGCATAAATATTCTACAATATATAGCAATCAAATATAGAATCAATAAATTACATAAAAAAAACTCAAAATTATTGTAAATCTTATAGAAAGCAAAAACAACCCCTCTTAACTAACTTCTTATTTATCTGTCATTAAATAAGACCAAACAAGGAACCGGTGCCATATACAAAATACTTAAACATAACACTGAAAAAAAACCAACAAGTCATCATAAATTTTCAGTTGCACAAACCAAATGGAAATCTTATTATAGTTTGCCCTTTAACAACACTAAAAATACTAGTACTTTAGAATATTACATAGAATATTACCACTAAATTACCTTACAAACTAAAATTGAGAGACTCTGTTTATATTGTAATTTAGAAAATAAAAGCATTGAACAACTCTTTTGGTCATGTGTTAACCCATCTATTAAGGTTATGAATGAAGTAAAAAAAAGTATGAGAAAGAAAATAATAATTATGTACAATTATAAATAAATGAATGGAAAACTATCCTAGGTACAAAAAAATATACCATTATATAATGCAGTGCTATTAATAAAAAATGTGTTATTTTTAGATGTTACTGTGATTTTACCTAAATTCATTTTTTTTCTTCAATTTCATTACAATTTAAACAGAAGTATAGCTTTCAAAAGAAACATATTTTTAGATTTTAAAAAAGAATGGAATCTAGTCAAAACATTTTCTGGACGCCTTAGATTAAGTTTATATGTAAATATTTGCAACGAAAACTCCATCTACGGTCTTTGTAACAAGTAGTGAGCCAAGTTTGTTAATATTTATTAATTTTCTTATATACATGTATGTATCTTATAGTATTGTTTCTTGTCATTGTATACATTTTTAATTATACATGAAATGTAATTGTAAGGTGATGTTTGGAATGTGTATTACATTCATAGTTTCAAACAAAACTTGAGAAATTAAAGTTCTAAAAAAATGTTCTTTTATATTTACTCTTCCCTTGAGATGCAGTTTATTTATATCAATGAATTCAGCATATTATTTAGATAGAATATGTCTGAAACCTTACTGATTTAAGAAGTTTTAATAAAAGTGAGACATAAAAGTTGGACAATATATAATACAAAGTCTTACACAAGGTATCAAAATTATGTGTGTCATAAAATTGTACAAAACAAAGTTCAACTTATGTTACACTTTCTTTTGATACTTTGTAAATCAGTATTTTTGATAAGCTTTAATATAACGCCCGTCATGAATGTTCATGTATAAAAAGCGCCGAATTATGGAAGTAAAAAATCATATTCTAAAAGAAAACAATAAAATTATGAAAATATGTATTTCAAAAGTTTATTAAATTAGAAAGTTGACTTCAAATGAAGAAATTAATTCTCCATTAAGCAATAATATAAATCAAATGAATTAAATAATTAAAAATTATAGTAATTTATCTGAAATATTTGTTATAGAATCAACAAATTATCGTCAAACCTGCTGATAAATGAAGTTATAAAAAATCTGTCTGATAAATCATTTTAAATCATATGCGATAATTATACAAAAAAACTAAAATAGATATAAAGTATTAACTTACCGTCATCATTATTATCAATCACAAAACTCATCTGATATTAAAGATCAAAGTTAACATTGAAATCAGAATCATACAGTCTTGTCAAGTTTGTAAATAAACGCTGTTATCTCATGTAGTTTTAGGAAATCCAAACTGAGTAAATTACGAGTATCATACCCGGAAGGAAACAATGCTCTATGATTGGACGATTTTAAATGTATTCATTTATTTATTTTCCGAAAACGGGTATCAAATTTGGCGCGTGATTGGCTGTGCAATATTTGAGTTACAGAACAAAAGTGTAAATACTTTATTATAATAATCGATATACACTTAAATAACGATACAAAAAATAAATAAATACGTTGTGGTCAGTTGTAGATTATATTTTTTTCCACAAAAACACGGAATTTTAGCTGATTTGTTTATAAATTATGTTGATTAAATATAGAAAATTCTACAATATACAAACTTATGCCCGATTGAAAATGGATAACTTTTTTTTGTTTTAAGAAAATCGTCATACCCGGAAGGAATTTAAGCTGTTTTGTTTATAAATTATGTTGATTAAGTATAGGTTAAAATTTTATTAGTACGTATTTACAAAATTAAATTTAATTTTGTAAATATGTACAAATAAATTTGAACCGGCTTAGTGTTTTAAATTATTTTTAAATACAGTCGTTTAGGGTGTTCCGGATCTTAGTTAGTTCCGGACCACTGTCAGTAAACTAATAAAATTGTGAAACATGTGGTAAATATTTCTTGAAATGGTTGTTTGATTTTGAAAGAATGGTCTTTTCTGGAGAAATTGTCGGTTATTTATTTACCAAAAGCGATTTTCATGACATGATTTTTTTACTGATGACAAGTGACCTTCACATTTACTCCAGAAAAAGTACGGGAAAAAATGGCGATTCTGTGAACAGGGCCTCGTGAATCGGTAAATATTGAACCAATACATCATGTTTATATACCAAAATGTTCACAAACATGTCCTCTGTCAATCAAAATAAGCGAAAATACCATCACCTGTTCTTGACAATAGTCACATGCCATAAAATGAAAGCAGTCGTTCGGCTAGTTTCGGATCACGTGACCTTCCATACTGGGGGTGTTCTCAAAAGCACTTTGGACTGTCAAAACAGCTGATTTCAAGTCACAATTGATGTTTAATAATGTTGTAAATTAAAATGTGTTACTGTTTTGATAATTGGGATATTTTTCCTGAATTATAGCTGATTTATTGAGGATTTATTTGTTTGAAATGTGATTTTATGTTAGAATGTTATCTGAATGTATTTAAATTACAACTTTATTTAACAGACTGACAGAGTTATTCATGCAAAATATATTTATGTGTTTCATTTTTTATTTCCTGTTGTATGGTGAAATTAAAAACAATTTCAAATAACATCAGTTGCACTTAAATATGTAATTTATTTTCAGAAATGGGGAAACCAAAACATCAGAGTCCAGCTGTCAAAAAAGCAAACGCAGTTAAAAAGAAGTACAACAGGGGCTCACCTGGGAAATCACTCCGGTGCAAGAGAGCAATTCTGGCCATAGAAAAAAAGAGGTAACTGTCAGGAAAGCATCAGAACTGTATGGCTTATCTTATGGTTATTTACATAGGTGTCTTTTTGGAGAGGTTGAATTAGATAGTCGAAATGGTCCACAGCCGATTTTCACTTTAACTGAAGAAGAGGCGATGGCACATTGGCTGAAAGAAATGGCCAGTCGAGGCATGGGAGATTTTTTGGACTTAGTTCAGAAATTAGCCACCAATGAAAAAAAACAAACACCATTTGCTAATAATAGGCCTGGATATGACTGGTACTATGCATCCATGAGGCGTAATAGTCACATCGTTGAAATGAGAACTGAAACCCCACTGGAAACTTGTAGAGCTAAACTTACATAAGAGAAGACAGACAAATGGTACAGTTCATTTAGAGAGTTTTTAGTCATTGAAAGGATTGATTGATAAGCCAACCCGCATATGGAATGCTGATGAAACAGGGTTCAGTATGGGAAGTACATTCGGCAAAGTCATTGGCCCAACAAGAGCAGAACACCAACTCAAGTGCCTCATTTGTCTGGTGGTCACAGTAAACAGCGTCTTACTCTAATGTTCTGTGGGTCAGCAGATGGAACAATGATGCCCCCCTTCTTTGTTTATCCTGACCTAAACCCAGAGGATACAATCCGATGACTGTGCTCTTTATGGATCTGACATAGCGTACACAAAGAAAGGCTGGATGGATGCTCCTACATTTGAGAAATTCCTAGACCACTTCCATAAATATGCTGGTGAGGAACGCCCAGTGCTTTTGTTAATCGACAGTGTCAGCAGTCATATTTCTAGTGCAGCATTTGAGTTAGCTAGTAAAAGGGGTATTGAACTTTACCGAATAGTGGTGAATGCTACACATCTAATGCAGCCACTTGATGTTGGGGTGTTTGGACCCCTGAAACAGCGTTGGCACCAGGTTGTCAGAACCCACACACGAAATAGCCCCGGAACACCGATCAGCAAAGAGAACTTTGCAGAAAAAACTGAAAGAGGCATTTCTGTTGTTTTACAAGCCAATGACAATTATCAATGCATTTCGGTCCTCTGGAATTTATCCTGTTGACAGCACTGTGATCACTAAGGAGCACGTGAAACCAGGTATCAACATTCAGTAGCACAGAGTCAGCATCTCTGGAGATAGAGTCCAATACCGAGTGTTCCTCAAGTAAATCAACAACAGTCGCAATTGTGGAACCACCGCATGGACCATCACTGGCTTTTCAAGCATTAGAAAGTGCACTAACAACACCTACAAAGGCAAAATACGCTAAACGTCTGGAAGAGGGATATGATATTCAAGGTCAATCTCCATGCTTCCATGTATATAAGAAGCTGTTGTCTGAATCGAGATGTGAAACTGTAACCAAAGAGCCTAAAACTTCAGAAAATGCTACAGACTCTCTGACAGAAAAAACTTCTAAGGACACAGCTGTGGTAACAAAGTCTCAGCCTGCTGAGGTCATATTGGAAAGTGATCATGACAATATATTTGTACAGAATGAACAAAATGTTGAAAAAGAGCCTGTCTCTGGACTTGATTTGCTTGCATCAGCTGCATCTTTACAAAGCCAAGACTCAGTTCAGACAGAAATCAGATCACCAGTGTTATCACCAATATTGAAAGTGTCGCTTACATTCCCATCAGCAGAGCAGAAAACAAAACCAAAACGAAAGTCACAACTTGAAAACTTACCGGACAACCTCACATCATCAGAATCTCTACGTAGCATGTCTCTGAAAAGCTTAAGTAAATAAGAGCATTTAAGGAAAGAGAGCTGAAGGCAAAAAGAAAGTATATGTCTCAGTTGCTGAAGCAGAACAGTAAAACAAAAGCAAAAAGTAAGAGAAATACTAACACATCTGAAGGCAGCAGTTCTAGTAATTTGAGGTCAGCTGGGAAAAGAACAACTAGAAAGAATGTTAAACAATCAAAAGCAAAAGAGTCTTCAAGTCAAGAAGAGGATAATGTGACATGTATGCGTTGTCAAATACGTTTTCTTGAGGAGCGCGAACTGGGGGTGGAACATCTATGGGTACAATGTGACCTCTGTGATCAGTGGTTGCACACAGAATGTAGTGAAGACCCTGTAGTTAGGGACGATGACTTCTACTGCTATAAATGTGAGTTCTAATCACATATTTAGCATTGCACAAAACTACACCTTACTGTTATATAAACATTCATGTATTATGTTAACCCATCCCAATATAATATGTTTTAATAACCAACATCAAAGGCCACACTGCACTGTTTGCACTGTATTATTGAGTCATGGTTATATTATTATGTATGACTGCTGAAACACTGTTGAAAACGGCATACAAATGAAACCAACCTTATTATTTTAGGTAGAAAAACAGCTTTCCTAGCAATTCCATTATTCTGTATACTGTATTGTCTATTTTCAGGCAAAAACCAATGAACCAGTTCAAGGCCCTTCAGAAGCAAGTGATCCTGCTTTGTTAAAAACTATTGTGCTGGAAAATAGTGTTGTTAAGGGATACCACGCATACCAAATCAAACCACCAATTACAGATCCACCAACTAAACTTAGGGTGGACAGAGAGTACACTAACATTGTTGATCGAGATGCCTGTCTAGTATGGTTGCCAAGAACTTGAGGAGTTCGATGAAAAAACTGCATGACGTGATTACAGACCATCAGAGGCACTTAAAATTATCAGATATTGCTGGTTTGCCTGTTGGACATGCACCCAGAGTGTTAGCAGGGTTTTTCAGGACTGTGCTAGACGAAGATGGCAGTGTGTATGCTGTTGCTACTGGTGAACCCTGTCAGAGCTTTCCTCCCTGGCCAGCACCTGGGGACAAAAGGTGGTGGAGCAGTTATCCCTTGCTCCTATTATATTACAAGTACACCAAGCAAATTCGAATATAACCTTTCCTTGTTGAGCTCTACTTTGGAAAAAATGGCAGAAGGTTCAGTTATGAAAGTGTCATGTATGTAGTTATTTGTACATGTAGATATATCAGTTTTGAGCACACTCTGTGACATTGATCTGAACATTATAATTATATAATGTGTACTTTTCTAGTCCTTTTGTATGTTGTCTATTTGATTATTCTTTGATTAACTGTGATTGCCCTGTTCAACCAATTATTTAAGATCATGATCTCAATCAGTGTTTACATGCTTTATAATCTAGTCATTTTGTATGTTGTCTATTTGATTATTCTTTGATTAACTGTGATAACCCTGTTAAACCAATTATTTAAGATTATGATCTCAATCAGTGTTTACATGCTTTATAATCTTGTTAGCTACTGTGTCAATTGTTACGATCTTGTTTAATAAATAATTCTGAATAATAATAGTTTAATCATTATTCTCTTAAATTGACCCATGTGTAAAATGGCCTTTTTGTCTGTTCTTCTGATAATTAATGCCAATGGCTTTTACAAACAAAGAATATTTCTGAAACACATCACAATTACTGATAAGTAACCTATTGGGAAGGTTTTTGAAAATGTTTTGAGAAGATCCCCAATATGGTCCGAAACTGCCTAAACTGAACCGGAAATAACCAAAAGGTCAATGCTGCTCGAAGGTACAATCAGAATGAAAGCTAACAGCTTTTTGCAAAAACTTATGTTGGTTAAAGAGAGGAAGAATTTATCTTTCTCTTGAAACAAATAAAATTCCAACAATGCTACTTTCAGATAAGTGACAAATATAATTGTTGTTAGCGATCCAGAACACCCTAAACGACTGTTTTTGTTTTATGAAAATCGTCATACCCGGAAGGTAATAATGTATACATTTTTTCTTCTTCTAAGAACAGTTTTAATGAAGAAATTGTAACGGCAGATAAATGCAAAGAAAATCACTGTCAATAAACACAGTCTGGTAGATAAAAAGAAATAGCACCAGGGACGCACTGCCATGCAGCAACCTGACAGTGGCAAACCCTTTTACAAATGTTCGTGTATTTTGATATTTCTTGGGTTTAAAAAAAAACGTAAATCTTTTAAAACTTTGCATTTATTGGCTTGTCTGATAAATAGCGGGACACTGGGTTTTGAAAAATATGCTATAAAATACTTCATGACACTTAAGGTCAGCTTCGCTTAAATAGTGAACCAACGTATACCCACATTTATATTAAACAAACGGATAAAGTTCTATCGAAAGTTGAAAAGTACATTGATAAATTAGATCTGCATAAATCAACGGTTTTGGACGGCATTGATCCAAATATTTTACGTTACTGTGGTAACCACATCACTTCATTCATTGCGTTTATTTTAATAATACTGGCTTATTCCCTGACTCTGTCAAATGAGCTTTCATTCTCCCTATATTTAGAGGTGACGATAATAATATCCGAGCAACTACAGACCTATATCTATTCTGTCTACAATATCAAAAATATTTCTCATAAAACACTATTCTTCTTTAAAAAAATAAAAAAATCAGGGTTTAGACAGTATTATTCATTTATACAGTATTATTTCGCTATTTACAAGCATGGTTCACATCTATAGATTCTGATATGCTTGAACTGTTTTTTAAATCAAAGAAAACCTTTTGATCTTGTTGACTATACAATTTTATATGTTTAAACTTTATCTTTTTCCGTTTCTATTCTTGGCCCGTTTTTATTCTTATTATTGCTCCGCGTCCACAGGCGCGGAGCTATTTGTGTTGACTATTTTTTTGTCCATGGACCCGATTTTTATCAATTAATCCCTTCGATTTACAGCAAAAAATAAATTCGGAATCAAGAACTCCTTCCGAATTCTATTATTTAAAGTCATATATTTGTCCCCCCCTTCGGTAATTCGCAGCATGTCATATTAATGAATGACAACGGGGACAAATTTCACGCCTCAACCGCTTGGAAAGCAGTTAAAAGACAAAACAAAAAATAAACTTAAATTCGGAGCTTTATTTCTTACATGTGTATCTTCTACAGGAAATTACTTATTATTTTGTAGGTCACAGTGGGTTATGTCAGTATTTTAGTGCTATACATGAATTCGAAAGCTATTAATAGCTAGATGACCTTAATTAACATTGTGTAAGTCCGAAAATGTGTTTATAGAAGTAGCTTTAGTCTAAACGAAAAGGCCATTCGTGTGGAGAATTTTGCAGGAAATGAAATGCAAACATATTCCACAATAAATTGCACTCTTTATAAATTTATCAGGCCATTTTTCACGAATTGTTATATCATAGTATTATCATTTTGAAATTGTCTTTTCCGTATGTTCTTTCCGGTATGTTGCTCCTATTTTTTTACGGCCCTGATTACACTTATGACATTTTTTATCTTGAATATTTAAATCGATCATGATTTCTCGAATATTTTTTCTATTTTGTTTGAAGGCAATTGGTTTTATGGTGGTTTGAGTAGAATGTTGATTTGCCGAATACTGTGACATTTTAACAACAGTAACTTTCGTCTGCAGTTTGAACATGAGGTGCTATGGGTGTATAGGAATGTAAGCAATTCAACAAAATAGTAGATTGCTCTCCCAATAAATCAATTCACAATAACTCTTTATTTAACACCAATGCCAAGCAGCTTTTATGTATTTGACTCCCACGAACATGATATCAGTTAGTGAATTTCCTCATACTAGTCTTAAATTCAGGTAATAGTTTTCCATTTTATTGATCAATAATGTTTCACCATATAACATGTATAACACAAAAATTCCTGAATTCGGTCTTTTTGAAATTCATCCCATTTTTTTCATTCCAGTGTGTGTTATTCTTTCAGTATTTATCTGGAACTTGAAATATATCTACTGTATCTTAAATCCCAGGTATTAATATAAACCATTTTTTAATTTGACATAAAAAATGACATAAAAATGCATGTATATTAGACCTTTTTGTTACTATTTTTATATTTGTTACAATTATAATAATAAAAAACGAACTTTGTTCATTTTGACTACTGTTTTGTGTGTTCCAAAGAAAATACATTTAATATAAACCTACCAAAGTTCATGATGAGCAATGTCTTTTGTCCTCCCATTCAGCCGTTTATCTATGATATACAATGCTGGTAAAATCCAATTGACCATTGAAAACTTTATAAGTATATCTAGTCATCATGTCAACTAGTTCATCGTCATTTGCTGCCTGCATTTGTTGCTTGGACGCCCTTTGATGCTTTGCATCAATTTTTTTTCTTGTAATATCATGATATACCATTTGCCGCGAACATGCAAAGAACATTTTGAAAAGTAAAGTCCATGAAAGTTTTTGTTTTGGCTTATTTACATATCGATTTTATACCCTGATTAGTTGTTCATATTTGTAGAAAATGAGTAGCATTATAGGTGAAAAACAAATGTACATGTTTTGATATTTTTTATCAACTTATATTACTGACTACAGTAGTGACACAAACAGAACAATGTTGCACTACTGTCATGTCACATTACATTTACAAGTCTTGTAAGTCTTGTTTTTGTTCAATGGAATTACTTTCCTTACCAGGTAGGCATCAGTGAAAGCATTTTTTTTTAATTTGATACCTGGCCCCTCTCTCATGAATAGTGCATACGATAAGTATAATTGTGAAAAAAAAAGATTTACAAAACATCCGGAATAATGTACAATAGTGCTTTATCTGAATAGAACATGACCTGTGCGAAGCAATGCTTTGGTAAGGTATCTTAATAGGCGGTTTAGATATCTATCTATATTTTCTATATACCTCGATGTTTTATATCTTATGGTTTTCGATTAGACACTTCAATATATTAATGACATTCACAGTAAAAATAAAAAATCATTACGGAAGATAAAAAATAAAATTGGCCGATACAAATTTATTTCTCACTTCAAATCGAAGTTTCTTATCTCTGCTCTCTTCACGCCAAAACTTTTTCTATATGTGTGTAATTTTCATTAATTAGTAAACGAATATAGCTCGGAAATTTGGACGTTGCTGCATTACTTCTACAGATCAGTTTCGTAAGTTTTTATTTCATTATTATGACCAGTTGATATTTTGTTCTGCAACTATAGACAGCCAGGGTGGAGTATTTTTCGCGTACAACAGTGTTTTTTTTTCACCCAACATAAACAGTAATAAATCAGTCACAAGTTGGGTTAAATTGTGAATTTCACAATCACGAGGAGAAGCCTACTCTCTGTTACTTTAAACGTCAACACTATCTAAATTCAATCTAAAACAATGTGAAATGCACCAGCCCTCTTTTTTTTAGCAGCTCTCAATATGTTTCTTTACAGTAACAATTGTTCAGTTGGAACAGTCCTGTAAGCAAGCGCATAATACACATTTAATCCTTTCGCAAGGAATCGGCGTATTGAAGAATACACCTGAAGACGCTAAAAGGAAATGGATAAACGATTGATTCACCGACAGATGGTCGCTCTACAATGAACAAAAAAGATCATACTTTTAACATAAGATCATTTAAGTAGAACCTCTTTTCTTTCACTACCTGTTTCGGTTTTTATACCATTAATGGATCGAATTATTTATAACAATCACTAATTAATCGTTTCATATTCTGAAATAACTAAACTGAAACATAAGAACAGTGTTTTTTTTAAAGATTTTATTAAATACATGAAAATCAGAAATTGCTACTCATGTTGTTGGCATCGGAGATGAAGAAGATCACTGCGTGGAAATGAAACGTATTCTTAAATGACTGCATACCCACCAATTTCCTTTTTTGTAGGCTAGAATAGGTATGAAAGTATGAATTTCGAAAAAGGAAGATTTTTTCTCTCTCTAAAATTACACCAAGTGAACACGTATTAAGGCTATTGTGGTGGAAACATACTGTAATTGAATAATAGAAAATCCATTTTAAAGTAATGTTGTATTTTCAAGATACTATCAGAATGAACATTCCTGTATGCACGGACAAGGTTTGTGTACCTCTGTGTATTAGCTTCAGATTTTGATAATGGGTTTGCTGACATTTCATTCGATATCAGTTTCATAAACAATTTTGTCGCTACCTCGCTTGAATTGGTGTATTTGAAATCAGCTAATTGTCCTGGAAATTTAGACTTTTCATTAATATATCCTTGTAACTGAAACGACACCCACAGCCGTTTTGCTATTAGAAAGCTATTCTTACATTTTGTGTCCATGTGTTTTTGAAATATTGTAGACGCTATTCCTGTCAAAGTATCTATTCTACATGTCGACAGTTTCTTAATTTGTGTCTGTAGGTCTTCGCTAAATCCTATCCGTGAATATATATAATTCATATCTTTGGAGAGCTCTTCAAGTTTTATTTGTAAAAATATATTTGACTGGCATGGATTACAGAGGATAAAGACCGGTGTCCAGTGGGAATTGCTTTTACGTTCATTCAAATCATCAAACACGTTTTGTAGAAACTCCTGAAAGGATTCTATAAACGGTTGTTCAACAAAGGAACAATTGTTTGTTCGTTTCAATGTACTATTATTTGTTTTAAAGCCGAGGTATGACTTATCAACATAAGCAGAATATATCCGTGCGTAAGGGTCGCGACCGATCAGAACGATTTTCATTGCTTGTCTGGATAATCTTACTAATTTGTTATTACATGTCTCTTTAACTATGTGAAGTTCTCGTCTGTCTTTTTTTACAATAGAATCTATGTCTGAAATTCCAGATTTCAAGACATTTATTACCTGCATCCAATATGTAGATCCACATTTCGGAACCTTACAAAGTGAAATATTATAACCCTCAATGTCACAATAATTGTGATGAAGAAATGTGAAGTTATTTGGTTTTGTTAATCCATCCGTTTCACAGATGTTTTTGACATGCTCTATACGGTTTTCATATTTTAAATGTAAGTCATTTGAATGGTGGTATACATCATAACCGTTTGCTGTTCTGATCTCGTTCGTTCTTTCACCAATTATCGTCAATTCTGAAGAAAACGTAAAAAAATAATTAAAACAAAACAGTTGTCTCAAAACCATTAAAAGTAACACTGAATAAAACCATTGAAAGTTAAACCATTCAGAAAAATCAGAGCACTTCCTCTTTTACTTCCATGTCTTACATCTTACGAAAAGCAAGCAAGCAACAACAAATAATTTCCCTGAAAATGACAAAATAAATACCAAAGAATTATGCACCAGGGCACTTAATGACAATAGTTCTGTAACAATTTGGTAGAAATCCCAGAAAATGTAGGAACGGTTGCATAATCATAATATATACAAGAAAAAAAAAACTTGCTGCGCTTGGGATTTGAATCTCAGATCTAGTAAATATGAAAACTGTATTCTTTTATGCATGACAAAATAATTTAGTTAAATATCAAGGTCATAATACTAACACAAATGACCAATTCACAAAATCCCGACTCTTGTGACAATATTGATTATGTGAAAGCTTTGAGTTGCGCATTGAAGGATATTTTTCTATATTCACATCTTTAAAAAAAACAACAACAACAAAGGAACATAAATAGGTTAAATAGTTAAATTACAATGTGGCAATGCACTTTGGGACAACTGTAAAGGTTTAGTTTAAATTTGTCGAGAAATTCAGGAGTTCAACGCACAAAAATTTTGAACGCCCGCCCGACATTATCAGTATTTTCTTCCAGAAACCCTGGTAAATAAAAGTTTCAAAGTGAACATTTACTCATATAACACTTCAAATCAATACAAAAAGTGACTTAAATAAGTGTATATCACATTATTACGAAACGGTACATTAGGCATTTTATGGCAGCAAATATTTTAATAATAACATTGAAAGCCCGAACGTATATACTTAAATAATCCAATTTTTGAAATTACATAGCATTAACCTTATCTAATTTGAAAGCTCGATCATTATAGGACAACTTTGCCGCGAGTCTTAATATTAAAATTGATATCGACACTATAATCATCCAAATACACATTGCGGAGACAGTAAGTAATCGTTATATTACATTGTAACAATACAATACAATACAATAAAATACAATACAATATAAATCGTATAATGCAAATGCAATGCAGAGCAGTAAATTGCAAATACAGCACAACGCAATGCAATACCAATAAAAACATATATTAAATATCTATATCTATATAATTAATTAAAAACATAAGAATACATGTACTATGCAAGCAGAACATACCTCTGTCATTGTAATATTTATTCACAAGAGAGAATTGTATCAGAAACGCTGCTACCAGAATCAGCAAAAAAATCCTTAAACGTTTTCTCACTACAGACTCTGTCACTCTATATGATAACACGTTATGTAACAACCAACCTTGACATGTATTGTTCATTGTTCCTTTCAGCTTTATCACCGTGAATATGATTACATTAATTTTATTTTAAATAAATAATTTGGGTTTTTTTTTGCCTAAAGTTATATAATTTTCCACTTTATAAAAAAAGTCTGCGTGTTATTACAGTAGTATTAGACTACATGCAATTGAAATCAAAGATTTTTTTGTTGAAATGAAACAGTGGGTTTGATACGAAAATTGCAGATATGCTAAAATTAAATGACATAAGAAGCGTATGGCATATCACATGAATTATAAATTGAGTGGAACCCAAGGTCACGTGGTCGTTTATGAGATTGTTACGCTTGAATAAGGTATCAAAACGTTATATTGCAGTATATTTATGACGTGGTAATGCAAGATTATCCTTTTTACTCAGCAGGAAAAAAAATCCACAAATGCGTAGAGAGGTCATGTCACACGTGTACGACATTCTTTTAGGTAATATACGCAGCTTACCAAAGGTTAGTCTTATGGAATGGTCGTAATAATTAGAGTTTATGTCAGGCTGACCTAGATTAACAAAGAGCAATGTGTTTATTGGATAACTGACATTAACACAGATGTTTAATTAATTGTAGCAGTAAAGCCTTCTAAGGTTAGTCACATATTATTTTTTACGTAATAAAATATGTCTTGTATTGGTAACAAAAAAAGAGTTATTGGCACAAAACCAGGTTTTTCCAGCTTGATCTAAATCCCTTCAGAAATGTTATACTTTTACTTACAATTCGAAACAAAACAATCAACACAATGATTTCTAAATAAATCGAATCGCATAAACCATACTATATATGACAGGAGAAAGTTTGGTAAATAGAAAGATTTGCACTTACACCCGCCCGCCGACATTCACAAACATGTATTTTCCTTCGATCAACCTGGTTATCAAATCAATCAAAACAACCTGACATATAACAACATATTGAGCATAGTAAGGAAATTGTTAGGAAAGAAGAATGAGTATTATAAATAAAATATAGCTCTCATTTTGAATTAAATCGTTACCATCATTGGTATTCCTCGTCAAAATAATGCAGCGAAATTGTTTATTTCTGCAACATATAGAACTTTTGCATATTGTAGGAAAAATAATTCTATTTGAATGGTTTACCAGCATATTGTTGATATTGTAATTATTCTGTTTGCAGAAACATTTTTCTTATCATTTTCTTATCATTTGGATCTAATTTTAATGAAATAGGATATACATTTAGTTTGATTTTGAAAGACTGGAACGAAAGTATTTTCATCTGCGAGTAATATATTAGCTAGATTGCTAACATCTACTATTCATACATGATGTTCATTGATGATCATACATAAATGGTATACAAGAGAGTTATAAGAACAAGTTGCACCTCTAGCTAAGACACACAAAACATACAAAAATGCTAAGTTAACTAGTTTATTGGCGGAATAAATCTCATTCATATTTGAGTAAATATTTGAACAGATGTCCAAAACATACACAATTATCATCTAGAAAGTCGAAATGCTTCATTTCATTTAAAAGTAGAACTTTATGACAGTTTTTATACAAATTTACGACCCTTGAGCTCATACACATAGTCTTAACAAAGCATTCGTCCTCTTTATTTGTTTTCAAAATAACCTAATCGGACTAAAATGTGCGAAATTGTTTAAAAGCTGATAACGCCGTCCAATAACATCACTTACTTCCGTGTTTATCAATATTAGTTATCCAATAATTCACCTATCATAGCGACAAATCATTCACCTATCATAGCCTATTGAAGACGTTAATAATGTTATATATAGGTAATGGAATAAATGGTGGCAATAAAATATATTACACATTCCATATCATGATAATCGAATACTTGTAAACCTAAAACCCATATAAGTCTGAAGGTCACACATATAGCAGATTGAAAATTACTTAACAGATTTTATTTAAATTTTGCATGATCTTGAAACATTTAAAGCAAAACAAAAATTAGGGGTCACTGGCATAGTTTTTTTAGTTATCTGCCCTTGAATTTGGAAATTGTGCCTATATCAAAAGCATATAACATTTTTTCATGTCGCTGACTTTATTTTGGGTAATTTGAAGAATTGGTAATAAAAGCACGCATTTAAAAAAAATCTTCATTACATATGCCATTTTCTAAAGAAAAATGAAATTTTGTATTCGGTGACTTGCTAAAAATGTTTCTGTCAATTATGCAAAGTTTTAAGCGAATTTTGTGATATAATTTTCAGTCTACTACTGTATGGCCGCTCGGGTTATTTATTTATACAAACAACCGTTTATATACGGCCATATTATCTGTCAAAAATCTTTATAACTAAAATGGAGATGTCATGTGTTTAGAAAGATTACCGATGGCATTTTTTGAGAATCAAATTGAAGTTATTGAATCTTATTTAAAGCCTAAAGTCATTAGAACTTCACCTTAAGAGTTTCACCTTAAATGCAACTATTTTCTGGTGGTATACATCTAACATGTTCTAAAACCATTATACGCTCGTACAAACTTACGTTTGCAACGTCTTTATTCTGCCAGATATTTTGCGTACTTACACATGAAGCACATAAAAACATTTCGTCCACAAAATATTAATAAAAATAAACAAACTAATTAACAAACCAAAAATAATAAAAAAAGAAAAATGGTGCTAGATGTGATAAATGTTTAAAAGACATTGAACCGTTGACATATCTCTAAAAGCGAACACACAAAGTTGATATTTGAGCCGTGTCATGACAAAACCAACATAGTGCGTTTGCGACCAGCATGGATCCAGACCAGCCTGCGCATCCGCGCAGTCTGTCCAGGATCCATGCTGTTCGCTTACCAACCCTATTACAAGTAGATAAACTGATAGCGAACAGCATGGTTCCTGATCAGACTGCGCGGATGCGCAGGCTGGTCTGGATCCATGCTGGTCGCAAACGCACTATGTTGGTTTTGTCATGGCGCGGCTCATTTTATCTACAAAGGGAAAGAAATGCTGAATATCAGTTTTAAATTAAACATAGATTAAGTCTCTTTCCATTTGAAAGAGGTAAATATTAAAAACAATAAAGATAAATAAAGACAATAAGATAAACTTTAAAAAATACCATTAAAGAACAAACATCAATTTTGTGTTATTATATTTTCTAATACAAACAATGTATTGATAAATGTAAAAAAATGTTTCATTTTATTTGATAAAAAAAAATCCAAGAAAAAAAAGTTACAAAATAAAAAATTCAAATCTTCTTCGGCTTTATAAAAAATACTGCTATTACCTGTCATTGAAATCCATAAATGGAAGGCGCAAAGTGCTGTAAACTTTTTTTTTCAAAACATTATATTGTTTATTCATTCAGAAATATGTGCTTGCGAAAGGCTTGCCAAAATAGCTTAATTTAAGGTAATATGAAATTATGCGTACTTCAATTAGATGAAATTTTAGAAAAAAAATAGCCAATCATTCTATTTTACAATACATACCAACAAAGATGAGGTCAACCTCACAGGCACGAGTATCGGACCTGGGAAAAAATATGACTACATTGATAAAAAAATCTCTGTGTTCCTCTTAAATGTGTCAAAAACCAAAAAACAGGTGAAACATGAGCCCCCTTAAAATATACTATAAGTTAAGATTAACTATAGTATATTTTTAAGGGGGCCCATATTTCAATTTTTTGTTGTTGTTTTTTAACACATTTAAGATGAACACAGAGGTTTTTTTATCAATGTGATTATATTTTCTTCCCAGGTCCGATACTCGTGCCTGTGGTCAACCTCGTATATGTCTAATGATTTGCAAATGTAAAGTGTATGAATAATAGTTAACATTTAAAATTATGAGTGTTTGTCAAAACAATCAAATTATGTTTGTTTTAGGATCAAATCTTATTTGCAATAATTGTTGTTGTTTGATGTTTCTATGTTTTTTAAGATATTGTTCTGAACGCCACATTTAATTTTAAGATATGTTATTTGTCTTAGCGATGGCATATATTCAAGTTTTACTTTTTTAAATAAAATTATTATTATTATTATTATTATTATTATTATTATTATTATTATTATTATTATTACTTTTATTATTATTATTATTATTATCATCATTATTATTATTATTATTATTATTATTTATGATATAGACTGTTACACGGTCCTACCATCATATCAATATGTTTTAACTGTTTCTATAAAATATGTAATAAACTGCACACTTTTTATTTTCTAACGTTTATAAAGTTTTCACATTGTTTTAGAAGGGACTGTTGTGTTTAATAAACTTTTGTATATATTTTTATATGAATGAATTGTGGTTTTTTTACTCACGCAAAGTTTTCCGATTAAGTATAAAACTATTTTCACTGTCATGCTGACGTTAATTATAATGTGGAATGTAGACACAGCTACGTATGTTTATTTACCTACAATTGTTCCACGGCATTTCGTTTATCAAAGTCGTAGGTGTAAGTTTTCTGGTCTAATTGATGTTAATGTGACATTTGAAAGGGCATTCTCTCACAATATTGTTTGTCAATGAACATTTAATAAATGTAAACAAGTGATTGCTTGATTAATAATATATCCATTATATAGTTGACAGTATCTACTCTGTAGTATGCTGTAGGCATCAAAATCTTATCACTTTATAGCCGAAGGTGTCAGGGTTTTAACAGTGGCTACTTTAAGTCATAAATCCGTTCCATTGGTCTATTCTGTAATAGTGCGCATCAGCAATCAAAGGACACACTTAAACATCTTAAAGCTGGGCGACAGGCTGTAAAACCATTTCCAGTCTTACAAGCTTAAAACAGTGTTAGAATCTATTTAAAAATAAATTACACAATCGATAAACATTTACCGTATTGACTGCATGCTACCTACATAAATTAAACAGAAACGCTATTGCTTCAAATATTTATATTCATACCTACTAAAAATTAGACAAATTGTTTGGAAGGAAATGCAATCTTAACATTTCATAAATTCATGAATGAAAATTCTGAATGAACCCATTCATAGGATTGTTTATGTTAAACAAAAAAAAATACAATTTTTCATTATTATTAATTTTTCATTAGAGCTACCTGAAAAAAACAAACATCTGAACGTTCCCTGTTTAAATATGGTACCGGAAGTAATACATTTTTGTATTTGATATGCTATTTCAAGAGTTTTTAATACAAATAAAGGATAAAAATCTATATCATAGAAGTCAAAAATAGAAAGAGACTATAATTAAATTCGCTATTTCGCTATTGAAACAAATTATGATATTTTTATCCGCTGATGACGTCAGCAATCAAATTCAAAATTACATTCCAATATCGTCTTGTACTTACAAATAGACGATGATAGTAGAGTATAATATGATGTCTAATTAAACCCGCTCCTCCCAAGTCACCGTGAACGTCTGCAGTAACCAAACAACGGCTTTAGGTCCCAATTATACACTCTTATAACGGAATGTTTCGGATTATATTTGATACACGACAGAAAGTTAAATATGGCATCATGAAGTGCTACTTATGATCAAATTAAATATTTTGTTTATTTCAAACAGTCCTTCATTGACGTTAGTCAAAAATGATAACAAAAATTGATTTTAATTTTCAAGATATTTTTACAATATTATAGGAAGTAATTAATGTCGAGGGAGAGGAATCAGGAGAGGACGGAAAATTTTCTTGGGTTTATCAGACTCCCTTCTGTGATGTCGAAATACACGGTTGCCATTGGTATTTCATGATAGCATTCTCTTAAATTAAATTTCTACATCAATCCTTTTTTGGAAATTTGAAAAAATCCAGAAAATCGGGGCTCCCGTATACGAAAAAGTATTTAAAAGAATAGAACCAACGAAACAGTATGCATTGTCTAAGAACGAAAAGAAAAGATATTTCCATCTCGAAATAACAAATATGTCAACAATTCTGCTTTGGTTAAAGGTATGTACTATTTTGTTTGAATTCGTTTTTCTTATCTATCTATACATAATATTGATTGTTATTTTACGGAAAAATATCGTTTGATATGTAACAATTTAAAACTGTGTTAGCTTTAATAAATCTCCCATTTGCATTTAATAGTAGTATTCGTATATGGAAACAACTTCATTTGACATGTTATATGTAACTTATAACACTATCATTATTCATTATCAAAAGGAATTTTATTTTAAATATTGACAATCAACCTGCTAAATTTGCTTAGACATGTGCTATTACATTAACAATTTCAATGGTTATCTCTGAAAAAAAGATCGCATTGTTTTAACACATCATGGACACACTTCTCTACTCCCAGTTAATAATTTACTAGTTATGCTTTTTTTGCAAATTTTGCTTGGCTTGCTTGGTATTTGAGTTATTTCATCTTCATTTATTTCTTTTTTCTAGCTGAACTTAAATAGTTTTCACTTGTAGTGGTTATGCCATTGTTTGAAGTAATTAGAAACTATTTTTGCAGCCGAAAGGTTACTTTCTAAGTTTAAACTCTTTGGTGTAACTGTTGGAAGCAGTACAAGTATATTTGTTTAAAGGTCTCTTGGCAAACAACTAACCGCGCCACAAGCAATTGTTTGTCAGCTGTCTGAAAAGCATTAAATTTCGTTATAATTGTGTTTCTCACTGATAATAAACGTATACTCTTACAATACATAGACTAACAATACATAGATAGCAATGTCCTCCATAAGTGCCCTCTAACATTATATTCGTTACAAGTTTACTCAATTATTGAAGCACAATTACGTGAATTAAAATTTGAAATTTAGCAACTATAAAGAGTTAGAAGCTGTAAAATCCATTTGAATTTCATTTATAAATTGCACTATCATCGGTTCGAAAGAAACTGTAAACTGCCCCCTTAAGGAATCGTCTGATCTTATTGTTGTTCGTAGCAAACGATAAAACGTTTGCATTTTTAAACTATGTGCAAGAGATATAATAATAATAATAATAATAATAATAATAATAATAATAAAATAATAATAATAATAATAAAATAATGCCAGTTGATTTTGATCTGCACTGGTTACATGGGTAGAATCTGTTTCATGAGGCTAGTTTTTAATATATATGTTATACTTGAAATACATATTTTATATATTATACTTAAACTAAATGTTATACAAAGGTAATTTTATGTTATATTCAGTTAAAGTGATACCATAATAACGTTAATATTATTATATTATGTTATATACTTAATGTTATTCTTATTTAACGTTTAACTCTCTTTTGCGAGAAGTTTTATCATTACAAAATATTTTATTTTCTTTATAAAATCAACAGTATTATTGATTGAAAATGAATAAATGTATACTTTCCAATTTGGAAAGAACTTGTTAAAGAAACATCGAAATAGCTCTACAAAATGTAGAAAACATACTTGCTGAGATACTTATTACATAGATAACTTTATTGATATTTACTCGAAGCTCCGAAGTTCTGCTGATTTAGAAGCTTAAATATATATGAAAGTTTTCTTTACATCAAAATGAAAAAAAAACATAAAAAACATTCCGTTCCAAAAAGTTAAAGAAACAAACTTGAAATGACAATTTTGTATGTTCGCAACTTGTACAGTTTGTGCGCACGTATCCTGATGAAATTATCCGCAAGTTTGTATAAATATGACACTGTAGTAATCAGCTTATATAAGAAAATGATATTCTGTAAGGACCTATGATTTACACGGATTTACGGGATCTTGAAGAGACACTCAAGGAACAGCCATATGACGTACATCTTGGTTTACTTCAAGTATCCAGACACTATTTTATAACTGTAATATTCTTCTCAAGTTTATCAAGACATTCTTTGTTGATAAACATCATTCGATATTTAAGAAACATTTGGTCTGTCTAAGTCCTACAATGAACTTTAAACTCGTTTGAAAGTTATTGTTGGAAGTACTAAACAAAATGGTTAATCAAACAGTTACATCACTGGTACCCGATCGATATATTAACTGTTGATTAACCTGTCATCACTGGCGAAAGTTTTTTTTTTTTTTTGCACCAATAGCAATGTCAAGCGTGATTTGACAAAATTTAGTTAAATTGCTTTAAAATAAGTGTAGTAGTTATGTGATTATGTTTGTACTATTCATTACATTGTTGATAGGTGGTTGTAATGATAAATGTGATTTATTTCACACCCTGACCACGAGCGCCTATAATAATATCTTCCAGTATTTATTCTGCGAGGCAACTCCATCATCAATTTCAATTTAACTACTGATAATCTTTCAACTAGTAATTAATATTAAATATTTCATTTTTCCTTACCTACTGCTATTGGAGGGATAGTTTAGGTGTAACCCTTTACATTTGGGTAAACTAAAATTTGAGTTAATAAAATAAATACACAGACAGAAAAAGTGATCAGTTGAGAGAATATACTACTACATACAATGTGACAATGTGGTGGATGGGTGAACCATTTCTAAAAGTGCATATTACGTTTTGAAACATAATTGTTTAATTTGAAATGGTAAATTTATAGTGCATGGAAATAAACTATAAAGTGATAATGATATTATGTAATGATGGAGCTGAGAATAATGGTTGTCATATGATAAAGATAATAATGATGGTAATAATGATGATGCTGATGATAATTATGTTGGTGATGATTTGATTTTACTGTTTTATTCATAATGAACCTATTTTGCTGTATTGTAAAATCATATGTTTAAATATCATATTATATGTATTTTCAGATATTTATTCTCACAATTTTGTCAAGAAGCGAATGTTTTGTATACAGTAACAGTGGTATAATGTCATGGGCAAGAGTGTGGAGAAATATGAATACAGTCAGCAACGACATCAACTTGAAGTCAAGCTGTCCGTGGACTATTGTCAGAGGTACCCCGCAGTTATTGCACATTCCTGAAAAAGAAAGACATTGGTGCAAGAACTGTTGCATCGACTTAAATCAAAGCAACGCTTCACATCTTATCATCAATCCAAGAGGCCAATGTCGCCAGATGAAAATTGGTGTCCCATGTACAAATGAAAAGGTTGTTGTAGGATACACCTGTGTATACGATGCCACTATTCCAACTGACAAACGTAATGCGGGCCATGGACCAATAGTAAATGGTGACTCGAGACATTTACAAACGGGAAATATAAATGCTATTTTTGATCAAACTAAAACACTGTTTGATAATAGTAAATGGGATAGAAAATCTAGTGTAAAGCCTCCATCATCACACACAACAATAGGTAATATTGAGAGGCACCTTAATCAAAATCAAGTTCAAAATAACAAATACCCTGACAGTGTACATCAGTATAGAGTGCCTCCATTTTCAGATAATGCTCAATTCAGAAACCCTCCATTTCTACAAAACAATAATGCTCAATTCCGTCATGGATTTTCAAATGCATTAAATTTTCAACTTAGACCGCAAGCTGTGATACCAGTATTTATTCATTCACAAAGAAATCTGGATTACGACGGTAAAAATCCAGACGACAAAGTCGACAAAAACTATGACACCAAGTCAGGAAGAAACCACGAGTTCAAGGATAATAAAGATGCTCAATATCAGGCAGGTGATGAAGATAACTCAATAAGTGATAACCTGGACGGTAGATGAAATGAAACGCTGTGCAATTCTGACTACATGTTTATGTTTGACGTATCCAAACATATCTATAAGACTAGCAAATTATTTTTAATGTTTGTTCTACAGTGACCTGTAAAATCAACACTATTAACAGACTGGTAATTCAAAAGGAAAAGACACTGACGTTATTTTGGTGTATTCACAGAATTAACTTTATATACATTAAACTAAAAGCTACAGGGATACTATTTATTTTAGAAACAGTATGTAGAATACCAGTAACTCTAGCAATAAATTCCTAAAAAGAAATCATAGAATAGGTGTGTACTCTTTGTTTGCATGACTATTTTGATCCCTGATGTAAAAATGTATTTCATATAGTTGGCAGTGAGATGTTTGATTTATATGTAGTTATTATGTATTTATATCTTTTATCTCTTATAAAGTGTTTTATTGCGTTACATTGTATCATCTGTATGTATAACATTTGTTTTACAATTGTACCAACAGAGGAGCAGGTTTCTTCTTAAATAAACATTTAATTTGCATTTCTTACATTGTTGCTTCTTTTTATATAATGTCTCAAAACAGATAAAGCATAATGGCGGCTATTCATAACGTTGAAATCATTTGCAGTTAAAATGTATTGCAAATTTCAACTGTATATATAATATACATACTGTTGATAAACGCGAAAGGATAGTGTTGTAGAAAATGTGACAAATTAATTGCTTTACAGTAATGATAGCAATTGCTGGAGAAAAAAGGTAATGAATAGACCAATTTCACAGATTTTATTGATGATACAAATGACAGCAAGGATGAATGCAGTGTGAAATCTCAAAAGGCAACCGGTGTAGTCAGGACGGAGTTATCTTCCGTACTTCATTCCGAAGCCGCCTGAAACAGTCAAAATGATACATTTAAACAAAACAATAACACAATGTTTAAAGTCTTAGCACTTATATGGTGCCTAAAATCACTATGTGTATAAAGTTTGGCTAATTATAAATAATTTATAGAACTACACGTCAAATCCCAATTTATTTCACAAATACAAGCTAACTTCACTAATAGTCTTTCTAATATACCGCATGGTATGATATATCATTAATTGATAACAAAAGATGTTTGCGTGGTAAATATATACCTACCATCTATCATTTATCTAAATTAAATACATATACTATAAAGCATATATATAAACATTGCTTTGCTGTTGAGAGAAAGTGTTAGAATAATAGCAGAACTTCTTGTACCAGTAAATAAAAAAAAAGACTTTGAACATAATGTTTATAAATTGAACAAATAGGTAATGAGCTATTTGTAACGGTACAAATAAGTAAAAATGTCAGTAAATAGACTTAAAAATGAAATAAAATATTCATTTCTCTATTACTATCTCAGATGTTTGCATTTGCTAATAATTTAACGATTTTCAGCTTAATATCCTTTCTCATCCCTGATTTTCTACAAATTAACTTCAGTAAAAAGCAACGTTCGTGTCAGTTGAAGTCTAAAGACAAAATATGAATAGGGTTATTGCGAGATAATAACATGGATTCAAAGGATTGTAGAATAATATATCCCCACTATGCCGTCTGTCTAGTAACTATAAAAGCCAAATCTACATCTATTTCCGGTTATAAATGGGTTATTGATGTACCACATAAGAGCAGATAATAAGATGATCAAACATCTTTTTTGTGCATCATTCCAATGTTGTCACCACCCGCAACTATAACGTGACCTTCTGTTGGATCATCTACCCCTGACGTGACAATCATTACATTTTCACTCGATGACATCATAAGGTCATGTGCAGGTGACCCATCCACATTTGAAATGACAGTCACTGGATGTACTGGCTCGGTCATGTAAAAATGTTTAGCAGAGGCGGCCCTTGCATCATCGAATATGCCTTCTGACATTCTTGCCGGGTCGTCTGATTTATTTAACACGTTGTGTTAACAATATGGCGTCATATTTTAATACACTATTCTCATGGGCAAAAACATTATAATTCTATAACCGCCTAAATTATAATAATATTTACTAAGTGTTTGTTTATAATGAGAAACTGGCACAGGCCTACTCATTGATGAAGCAATATGGACAGAATTTATTTAAGTTTTATATAGAATTGTGTTATCAAAATGAATCTCACTAAGTCTAAAATGAACATACGAATGTATATACAAAATACTTTCAATGAAATTGCTAAAGGATTCACCTTAAGCCTGAAGTAAAATTTGCAAGAAAAAACGTTATAAAGGAAATAACTTTTTTTTAAATATACTCGGCCGAAATTAACTATTGGAACAACGTGATAATACAAACTAAATCGGATATTATTTTACACTCTTTCCGGAAATTAGGGCTGATGTTTTTTGAACCCGGCACATATATATTTGGATATTTATTTCTCCATCTTTTAAACACATGTATGTAATTTATCTATTATGAATTTGTTGTAAATAACTCAATGGAAGCAATGTCCAGTCTTCTTTAATTACAGTGTCATTTGTAACGGAGAAATTACACCTCGCCGAAGAATCGAACCTGTGACATACTCTCCCTATTTAGCTAAGCGGGCGGACTTTATTATTCAAACCGCTGAAAGTCATTGTGTTAATAGATACCTAAAGCCGAAAAAGAATGACCACTATTGTTTAGTTTTATGAAAATACATTTTTATTTCACCACTGTATGGGAATGCTTCTAGAGTAATTAGAGGAATCAATGTCTTACCGGTTATTATTAACGGAGAGCGAACCTTTGTTCAATTTGTCATTTGTAAAAGGGTAGGGCCTCCTCAAAAGAGGTAAATTTGCAATGATCACATTGGTCAGATTATGTGTTTGTGTAATCATTCATAATGGGGTCCAATTAAATAAATATAGGTTGTTACCCTAAATGTGTATTGCCACTAGTTGTTTATCATAAGCGATTTCAACAAGTAGAGAATGCTATGCCAAGATCAAGTATGTTTTAATTAAAAGAAATTTACATATCCTTACCTCTGCCTCCGTTAATATTTCTCATGTTGGTATTCAATATATTCATGTTATTCATCATACGGTTCAACCCATTGTTCATGTTGTTAAACAATCCATTCCAGTTGTTCCTGTTAGAATTGAAACCATTCCAGTTGTTCCTATTGAAATTCAATCCATTCCAGTCGTTGTTGTTAAAACCATTCCAGTTGTTATTGTTGTTCAGATCTGAATGTTATAAACACATATGTTTGCTAAGTATATCATTTCTTCATATTACGTCTACTTATATGTATTTGTATCATCTCAAGATAAATCCAATTCAATATTCACTGGATTAAACATGGTATACATGTTTATAGGAAAAAGTTCATGAAATACATAATAATACTAATTTATTAGTACTCTTATCAATTTAAGAGATTCATTTATGAAAACATTGACAACGATATTTACACATTTATTTGGATATTTAATTCATGAAATGAGGCTTTAATTAAAACATAGGTTTTGGACATTGCATTCATATTTTTCCTCGACATTTCTACCATTAAGTTACGAACTCATTTGAGAAATCAACTGAAATTAAATGAAGTGTTTGGAAAAATACGAAGAATGTACTTGATATTTTTAAATGTATGCATTATTATGACAATCGAAATATTGAATGATTTACGCACCCCAGTTACGATTCATGTTAAACATATTGAAGTCGTTGTTCTGACACACAGCAACACAGATCATCATGCACAAACTGACAGCAACGCCGGTAACCTTCATTCTGAATTCTGTAAAATTAAATGTGCCCAATTTGCAGAATATTGATTCATGTACACTTACAATCAGAACTAGATTTAAACTATAAATGTAAATAGAAATTCTAAACATTATGTTATATTAAATATTCAAAAAATCATTAAGTTATAAATGTCCATGATATTCAAGCGATTGTCGCTTTCATCAAAAGTCAAGTTACTCGAAGAATGTTTCAGATAAATTTTACAGATATAACTTAAGTTAAGATTGATATATGTAAATGCACATTGTACGTCTTCTATATATGCATTTTATTTTGTAACTGTTATGAAAGATAAATATAAGAATATATAAAAAAAATAAACATGCAAATTTAACAAATCTTCATAAACCTAAAGAAGAATATTCTTAGGGAAAAAATATGATAACTTACCAAAGTGCCGAGCCGTAAAGTTAAATTCAGATGCAAAGTTTGAATCAGCTGCACCGATAACTGGGGTTTGCTCTTTATTTATAACGGTGAATATGTGCTATAGCTAGTGAAGGATGTTTAAAGTATGTAAACATGTGTAAAATATGATTTGATGTTACCATTAACAAATATGCTTACAACTAATAAACAATAAAAAGGTAACTATAAAAAAACTAAAGTATTAATATTTTAGTACTAATTAGCACGAAACGGGGCTAGCTAAACACTACGAGGAAGTGACATTTCACTTGACCTGTCTATTGAAAGACTTTGCCGCTTTGTCAATGTGTAAAACAAGGCGCCTCATTTACACCAATGTTGTTTTATTGTTTTGTTATTGGTCATAAAATATGGTTCATCACAGGCATAGGTTGGAGGAAATGTTTTACACAATGCAGTTGGATAGTATTAATTCATCCTCCTTTAAAATGATTGTTACTGAAATATCTAACAAATAATGATCCTTTCTTTTGTATAAACGTAGATTTAGAACATCGTCCATATAGGTGTTACAGTTGTGTACTCGTGCAATAGAATTGCACTCAACAATGTATGACAACTTCAACTGTTCGATTTTGGAAAACCCATTTATAATTATGTTTGCAATTATTTAAAGGCATAGATGTGTTTTTGTTTTGTAAAAATATATAAGGAAATAAACAATTCTGCTATACTACTTGTTGTGTATGCTCATAACTATAATGACATTCATTTGTGTTATTTAGATGAAATAACATTTTACTGCAGTTGACATAAATATTTTTGTAATGATTAATTTATATCTACGATAGAACATTTTTTCCTATTTTCTCGTACGTGTATTCGTGATAATTACTAATAGGTATTACATGTTAAATTGTGTACGTACATGTTAATGTGAGTCGTAATAAGATCGGGCAAGATCGACCTATTATCTTTGATTGGTTAAAAATCGAACACAAACAGTGACAAGGAAATAATGCGGAATAGGAAATACAGGGTTCAAAATGCCTCTCTCTACTGTGAACCTACATATCATAATTTATTTATTCAGTCCAAAAGGAAATAGTATGTTGGAGCGTATATAGTACATATGTACTCCGTCAGAGTCACGAAATAAAGGAAAAAAGCGTAATTTAAATTCCGTTAGTCAACTTGCTGTCCGGGGCAAGGTGCAGTTTGTAGTGTAAAATTTAGCTAATTTTATCAATTCTAGATGAATGTTAACAGCAAAAAGTTGCCTCTTAATTCACATCAGTGTTATATTTTTCGGGATCATGATATTGCATTTTTCATTATCTCTCGTTAACAGACTCAATCATACCGGGTCTGCAATTTTAATATAATATTGTTGTTTTATTGCTTCCGATAGATCAAACCTTTTCCAAGTTTTTTTTTCTTTTAAACTGTGTTAGATTATTTTGCACACGACTAAATGCAACTGTCGTAAAACGAACGTGTAAACTGTGATAGAAAAATATGCTGCAAACTTTAAATATAAAGATACATGTAGTAACATATACACAATATTATGCGCTAATCGGGTTACTGTATTATCATGGAATCTGTCCAAATGGTATTTTTAGAGGCGTTCCGACTATTGCTATGTAAAATCAAGACAAATTACACCGTACAAGGAATTAACTTAGTCACAATTAGGGTAGTCATGGATCGGCAGTCACATGTGGGCGTTTTCCCCAGACAACATCAGCCTGATAATAACGTCTTATAAAGGAAAATACTTTAATTAAAAATTTTAGGTCCTTTTTTACAAAGCAAAAATTTAAAAATTAGGAATTTTCTTAAACTTTGCAGGATTAAAGAAAATCGTGATTAAAACTAACTGATAAAAAAAAGTGGGTCGCCGTCCCACATTTTGTTCAGTGATATGTCTCTGAACACTTTATGGTCACTTTCAGGAGCAGAAATTCAAGAATACCGATACTTAATTCTAATTCAGATTATATTTGTCACTTCTTTTTCAGTCATTGTGCAAAATTTCAAACAATTCTATCTGAAACATATTCTGCTATGCATCAATGTTATTGCATTTTTCTTTTACAAAATGGGCATAACTTGCATAAGCAACAATAGAATAAAATCGGTAAAATCAAACGAAGTGTTGCTTGGCTGTACTTCATTTTTAGTGTTGTTATACTTTTTGGTCCTTTGGGATCATTGAAAATTGTCTACCGCTCCAGCCGGTGCTAGGGGGCGTGAGGGATGTTGCACTTTTTTATTATTCCACATGTATATACTCAGTCAAACCGAACCTATAATTTTCACGTGTGTAACTATTGTGATTAATGCTTCCGAGGGCTCACACAGAGGCAGATAAATTAATAAGTAGGATGGCGACCCCCCCCCCCCCGTTTTTTTTTTGTTTTTTTTTTAATTTATTCCAATCGTGATTCCATAAATCATGCAAAGTTGTTTTTTTAAATTTTCTCTGCTCTAGTTTGTAATAGGTTATAACTTCCTTTTTGTCTTTGTAGAAATGTTAATAAAAATTGCCAATTAGGGGCCTTATACTTTAATGTAAGAGATTATCGCGAGTCTGGGATGGCTTTCTAAAGCTGCTATATAAAATTCTAACGGACACGATGCCCATTCCACTCTACAACTTTTGCGAACTTGATAAATAATGTTGTAGTCTAACAAAAAAATTAAAATAAACAAGACTTTGCGTCTATAGTTTTATCAGGAAATAAACCAACAAGTAAGAAAAACATTTTAACTTTTAGATATTATATACACAACTGGAAAAATCAAATGTAATTCGTGTTATTTAATCAAAAGCAAGAGTTCTTTAACACAATATTACGCATAAAATGTCAACACCGAGACTGATGAACAACTAATTAGCAAAGAAAATGGAAAACTTAATAACTACAAATTTTCTTTCAGAAATTTAACAAGATCGTTCATCGCCCGGATACCGACTTTAAAAGGCATCGGTCCCGCAAAGAAAAATATCATCCCATGAAACCCGTCTTCATAATGAGCAAGATGTACTCGAACTCCAGCCGCCTTGCAGCGCTGATAATACATCAAACCATCATCTCGTAAAACATCATATCCTGCTGTCAAAACGTAAGTATGAGGAAGATCTTTGAAGTCCTCCTCGTCAGCCATTAAAGGAGCGAAGTATGGATCCAGTATTGTTTTCTCCACTGTTTTAGACAGTGCTTCATTGCCGGAGTCTGTTGCCTTCTCCATTTCCCGTAACTTTTCTGACCGAATGTATTCTTTCATGTACCAACGTGGAGAAACGTTGTCTGCATATTTTGACTTCTTTAACGCTGGTGATGTGTGTTGGTTGTCGAGTATCATGTCCATGTACTCGTAACTAATGTTACCGTAATTTAACCAGTACGAAAGCATGGAAACATCACATAACATTCCAGGGATAAAATCTTTATTTTCAATGTAAGAAGGTGTTTGCAAATCAAAAAGTTGCAGACATGGATAGATAGGAATTTGGATTTTGATCTTCTTTTTAAGGCGTAACGAAACTGCCGCGGTTAGATGTCCACCAGCGCTGTCTCCTGATATTGCTACGCGTGTAGAGTCTATTTTTAGCTTTGTTGGGTTCTTTAGAACCCATTCAGTTGCTTTTAAACAATCGTTAAATGGGATTGGATGTGGATGCTCTGGAGACTGTCGGTAACTGAAAAAAATGCAGATATGTTAACAACATTGTCTCTTAAATAATAGTGCATATTATATATCATCCCTTATTTCGTTTTTATCACACACCCGTGCCGATTTTGCGACTCCGTAAAAATGGTATTGCACGGCCGTTCATATATTTTGACGTGACGTCATTAGCGTTATACAAACATAGTGTAAAGACGCGCTAAATGTTAGCGTTATACTATAGTCGCGTCAATGAAAAATGACTCTTATTTCACTTTAAACGGTATTTATTTTGGGTATATGATAAATAGAATATTAAATTCGTGTAAGTTCATTACTGAATTTATTGCACTCGTTGAATAAAATAATATTATGCTCGCCAGAGGCTCGCATAATATAATTTTATTCAACTCGTGCAATAAATTCAGTATTGAACTTACACTCATTCAATATCCTCTATATAACAATAGATGTGTAGATTAGGAATGATTTCTTGTTAAGCTTTACCATAGTATTCAAATTCCAGCAGAACCCCTTCATGACACATATAAAAAGTTGTAAAATAAATTGAGACGGGATCACTATTAAACATTCAAATATTTTCTCAAACTGCAGATTTAAAAAATAAGGATATAGAATCACTCACTTGACTGAAACAACAACCATTCCCACTTTCTTGGCAAGTTCTCTTGTCGCTGGATCGTAAACATCTAAAATTAAACCATTAACTGTGTGACATTAATTCGGGGATGTGTTTTAAAAGGACTCCACTGTTGTTGTTGTTGTTGTTTTTTTTGTAATTGTTTTTTACATGAAGGGACTGGAAAACTCTTTTTTTTTTTAGATTTTCCTGTACCATTCGATAAAGATCTAGATCAGTCGCTTATGTGCACAATTTCATCATTTGCTTACTACGTTTTACCTGGATAATATTTTCACAAACTCCTCACACTGATTACCTCCCTTGGCAGAATTGTAATCACATCTAATCCTGCTGTAAGGGGAGATCACTGCGTAGGAGATTGATATTTTCATATAGCGCGAATTAAGTGACCCAAAAATGAAAAACATTGTGCCACTTTTAGCTCAGATCTGGCTAAGAAGCGTATAGAAATAGATTTTTAATTAATTCTGGGGATTTCTCTCATTTTCTCTACACGCACTTGCATAATGTTTCCATTTAATTGAATCCGTTGATCTTGGCAAGAATTTCAAACTTTATGTTTTAGGCTTTTGTACCTCAGTGGAGTTCCTTTTAATCTCATTATTATATAAGACTCTAAATGGTGTGACCAAGCAATCTGTTGTAAGGTTCTTTTAATTTACGGTTTTTATTGGCTTCATTTTACTTAAGTAGACTTGTGTTATAATAGCTCTTTTTCTCTGAATGTATTACTATTCTAAAATATATATTTAGTTGCGCTGTTTCACAGATTTTAACATCTACATTGACTATTGTTTTAATTAAACATTAAATAATACTTATAATCTATTTAATTGACATACCGACATTAAGCCATGACCATCCGCCACCATGATAATACACGAGAACTGGGCGTTTAGAACCACTGGTGTTTACAGGGTCATATACTCGTACACTTACACCATCAACTTCCATATCGTATATCTATAATAACATTTGAAAATAAAAACAATATTGGCTGAAGTATTGAATACACAAGACAAGCTTGTGAAGTTTTCAAAACGTCGTACACGTCCGAATTTCAATATTTTGTAAGCGATCTTTGCTTTGAAACTTTTCACCATTCCAAGATGCTGCTTAAATGTATAATTATTTTAGGTTCGATTGATAGATAGAGAATATAGTCACAGTACTCTGTTCATGTTCAGCCATTAAGTTATGATTATAGATTCATACTTTTTCTAACTTATCCAGATATACGTAACATCAGATGTCATGTGCCGTGTGGCAGCCTTAAAAAGGTGTCCTATGCTTCACTTCAGTGCTATTATATTTTTCTGGTCCTTCCAGCACTTATAAGTGTTGAAAATTAAGTACTGCTCAAGCCAGTGGTAGAGGTCGTGAGGAATGTTGCACAGACTCAATCAAATCGAGTCTGCAATTTTCATGTAATTATGCTGATTTTGATGCTTCCGATAGATCACTTTTTCCAGATATTGAGAAAATGAAAGGAATAAGATTCGGACCGCGTATTTTCAACAAGTTAAACCTAATGAACAGTTGTTACACAAATTTCTCATAAACGATGTTTACCTCTAGTTCTGGATCTGGACCCAGCCCGAACGGTCTACCAGTGATTAATGTTGTCAGCACAACGTTCACGAGCTTTCTTGTAGGTCGACAACATCCTCCGGTTATACCAAAATTATGCAAGGAAAGTATCTGAAAAAGTTACATGTTACCGTTGATTATTCTATTTTTTCAAAAAAAATGCAAGATTTTTTATTTATTTCGTAACGCAACCTTGGCACTGCAGTAAACGTTTTAGATAGAACCTTATTTTCAGCTTAAAGCGATAAAACGATCGCGCAAGCGTTTGGACTGTGACATATGCGCACTGCAGCTTGAGGCCACTTGCCTATTTCAAAATCCCACAACTATATTTTACTTCATCTTAATATATTTGATCTGCGACTGCCTTGTTCTTACATACTCAGCAACACATCTAGTCAAGATATAAATAGATTCAGAGACATTAAAACAGTTGCGGAATGCTTATAAACTAGCTGAAGCAAAGATACTGAAAAATGTTGCTATGGAGAAATTAGAAATTATTATTTATGAATTTTGGGGAAAATTTGATAAAAAGTGTATGCCATAAACATTAAAAAAACTAAACACTCCAAATATTTTCACATCCTTATACCGCCATGGAGTTTTAGCTTATCGACGTGAATAATATACAGAAGAGGAAAATAAAACAATGTATTTGCACATGCATCGCCCGCTGTGTTGTAAAATTACATACTTCTTTCAATATAAAAAGTTTGGTACGATTTTTATCAAAATCCATAGATTAAAAAGCTTCAAAGTACCTTTATACCAGCATGTTGTGATCATGGTGGTAAACCACACTAAGTGAAATTATATATATGAAGGGTGATCACAGAATAGGGAAGATTGGAGTTTTACTTTACCTCAGACTATTGTAAAAGTGTTTAAATCAATATAGATGGGACTGTCCGTATACATGTTTGTCATTACCTATTTTTTATGAACCAACAAATATAAAATTAGAATTTACTTACAAACTTTCCGTTTGTACGGAGAGCTGTATCTAAGATACGAGCACCCCATACTTCTTTAACCCCTTCAGGAATCTCTGTGTGCATGTATTGGAACAACATAAACATGAAAACAACAGTCAATGACACTGACAGCAGTGTTTGAAATACACCAAGCCATGTTAATGTAGCCTGAAAATAAAACCAACATTTTGATTATCATGTGACTCACCGTGAGGATCTGTACTGCATCTGTACTTTTATCTTTTCTTAATTAAAAAAATCCAATACGTTTAGTACTTTAATTACTGCTATAATATGGGGGTAGGTCTTGATAATATAAAACATTTATAATTATATAGAATTTAAAATCTGATAAGAATTTCACCTGATGCTAGTTACAACAATTCTATAAGTTTGTTTTTTTGGTAAATAGAGAGTAAATGCATTTTCTTTCGTTCTTAAAAGCCTGCAGAAGCACGAGGGCGCTTTTAAAGTCAGAGCCCGTAAATCGAGTAATTTTTGAAAATACGAGGGCTTCTGTAGATTTTCATGCACGAGAAAGGTGCATTAATTTATTAACGCTATTTACACGGTGTGTAATCGTTTCGGGCTTATTTTATAATATTGTGAAATAACCAGGGTAGTCATTGCATTCATCTTTTTTTACATGGCAGTGTGGATATTTAAATATGTATAACTGCGGCGCATGCTTGCGTGATTTTATCCATCAATGCATGTTTCTATAGCCGCGTGCATATTCTTTATTCAAGAATAGGTTTTCTTGCTGTTCAAATTGAGTACTAGTGTCATGAAGATTTTAAATTATACATTCTAACTGTTGAATACTAGTCTAAATTATGACTGAAGATAGTTTAATGTGGAAAATTCAGATAATATACATATCGATAATATGAAATTTGAAAACCATATTTTTTATATTTATAGAAATGAGACGATAATTATATAAAAGAATTGATATAAAAATTATAACGAACCAGATATAAAAAGCACGCAACCGAAGCTTTCCAATTATTAGTTGTCCGGTACAACAAAAACGCTATAACAGGAGTGAAATATATTAAAGTCATTTTTCTGTACGACCAAAGTTGGTTATGATTTATCGTCTGTAGCTACAAGTGGTCAGACGACAATATAAGTACACGTGTTCCGTGAGAACACATAGACTCGGACAGATGGTAGATATCAGACTGTCAGCCTACCGATGGAATTAGATTATTTAATAATATCTAAGATAACAGATAACATGGGAAAACGGATTATGCGTCTTCCAAGCAGAAAGCAAAAACCAAGTGGTTGATTACGGTGGCATTAAAAGTGACATTTGCAATTTTTTTTTTTTTTTTAGTTTTTGATACTTATTTTTATTTTTTTGTTTTTCGTTCATATTTTTTTTTTAGTTTTGCATACATATTTTATTTTAGTTTTGATTACATATTTTTTTTAGTTTTGCATACATATTTTATTTAGCTTTGATAACATATTTTGTTTTGTTTTACATACATATTTTTTTTTAATTTTGCATACATATTTTATTTTTGTTTTTCATACATATTTTATTTTTGTTTTTCGTACATATTTTAGCCAATCAAAACAGTCCTCACATCTCAAAGCAGCCCATAGTTACAATAGTAGCACAGTGGTTTGGTCACATTTCGGCCCATTTTTGGAATCGGCCTAGTCGTTATCGGCCGGGCAAGTCTGGTTTCGGCCGAAAGGCCGACCCTTTTCGGCCCACTTTTTAAATTATAATTATGTATTTTACATAATTATTGTTTTTTTTTATTATTATATACTATTATATTAGTGTCTTTTTGGAAAGGGCTGTTGATTGGTGATCAGTTATTATTCCATGTATATGCACCACTCAACCCCACACCCTGAGAATAGCGGGGGGTGGGGGGCATTGACTTTAAACCAAGCCGACCTCTGGTACAATATTCACCCTGCCGGGGATACTCAGATAATAACATCCCTGCCTTATGCCCCGACACAGCGCAAGGGATGTGGTTAAAAATGACTGGTGTATTACAATAATGCACAATAAAAATCTAAATAGGTCCTTATAATCCCACTGGTTTAGAAAAAAAATGCTTAAAGCTTTGAAGGATTTTTATGAAACTTGGATCAATTGTCTAGCACATCCAGATAATGTGCAGAACTTATATGCCAAGTGTGCCGGCTCAAGGTCGGGCTCACACAAAGAATTGTGACTTGGGTTTCATGCCCGCTCCTTATCTCCTAAGCCCCATGAAGGATTTTCATGCACCTTAAGTCAAACGTTAACTACATCGAGACCATATGCAGAACCTTCTTTGCGTCACCGTGGACTATATATTTATGTATATATAAACTAAAAACTGTTTGTGATTTCTTTTTGATGCCTCCAAAAATGAAAAATTTGGTATATGCAAATGGCGTTTGCAAATGGTGTACTGTAATTTACAGTGGCGAAGTGTTTGAAAATGGTGTTTCACAAATGGCCTAACTACTTTGCAAATGGCGTCATGTAAAAAATGTACGCACAACTAAAATAAAATATGTATGCAAAACTTAAAAAAAATATGTATGCAAAACAAAACAAAAATATATATTCAAAACTAAAATAAAATATGTATGCAAAACTAAAAAAAATATGCATGCAAAACAAACAAAAAATATGTATGCAAAACAAAACAAAAAATATGTATTCAAAACTAAAATAAAATATGTATGCAAAACTAAAAGAAAATATGTATGCAAAACAAAAAAAAACACACACAAAAATACGAAAACAAAACAAAAAATAAAAAATTTGCAAATGTCACTTTTATGCCACCGTAGTTGATTGATAACCAGCTGTTTAATTATTTTATTTTACGCTAACTACCCAATATATAATTTCGGCAGACAGGCAGTCATTTTATTTTATTCCAATAGGCTTTAAAGCCCACGAGGACATAAATAATGCACAATAACGAACAGTGTATGACATAAACATATAAACATAATATAAACAATCATGAAAAAAGTTTGGAGAAGATCAATAAAGTAAATACCAGCCGAAATTTTCTTAAGTATTTACATAATCAAAATTGATCTTTGTACCACTAACTTATAGTTCTCTTATATATACATATACACATACAGACGGGCGGGCAGGTTAATAGAGGTCAGTCCGCCGGTTGGTAACACTGGGTGAAGGGGTCTGTGTGAAAGAGAGTGAGTCGCGAATTTTGGACAAGTGGTAATGCATAGTATTCTATTTCACTAGTTTTAAATAGGGGGTCTCAAGTAAAATTTGTGTGTGATTTTCACTTTTAAAAAGTTTTTTGTGTTTTATGTGATTTTTTACAAAATGATTCGTTTACAAGTTCTAATCTGATATACTAACCAAATCCCAAAGGAGATCATGCCCCCCCCCTCAAATCCCCAAAGGAGATCATGCCCCCCCCCCCCCAAACACATACAAACTTTTCAGGAGCCGTGCATGCATACTAAACTCAGATACAAGATGTATGAATAAAATGCCTGTCGTGCATAAAAAACATTAGGCCTATCATGGCTTTTTCAGTAACAAACAAAAAAAGTTAAAACAAATCTGATAATAAGCACGTTGCAACGTAACAGTGAGATGACAATAATACGTATCACATTCGCAATTTATTTTGACGACAACAACAACAACAACAACAACAAAATGGACGTAAAAGACGAAAAGGAAAAGAAAAGAAAAAGAACAATAAAACTTGACGGTTCATCTGCGTCAGGTGATGGGAAAATAGAGGCAAAAAGAATAAAACCTGATTCTGTAAAGGTATGACACTTTCTATATTGATTTTACTATTGGTTACTGACAAGTGTTAGACAAATCCTGCCGGTTTTGGTTGATTCGTTACCAAATATATTCGTAACGGATTATTTTCAGGTCCTAAAAACCACCAAGGATCACTACTCATTAGATTGATTAAATTTTATTCGCTTTTTGGGTGATTGATATGATTTTTAATTTTCGATGAGTGCTAACTAAAACAATGTAAAATTGCATAGGTATTAAGCTAGCTTAAGATCTTCAGCTTACCCATTTATATACTATGACATGAATGCTGAAGACAGACCCGTAGGGAAAGTCCACCAATAATCGTGCCAGGAATCTGACATGCTCTTATTCATTCATCGAACATGCCATGAAGTAAAGTGATGCATAAACGGATGGACATATAAAAATCTTATTACGAACATAAACTACCCAATTGTGGAAACAGGTAAAAAATTCAGCACTTGGCCGCCATATTGCCAAAATGTTTGACCACGTGATAACGAGATTGACCTTTATGCGTTAATTTGCGCGGACGGTTAAGAAAACAGAAACCATGTACTCCCAACTTTTTTTATAAATTACTTTTTTTAAAGATATTCAGTGTTCCCTCTGGGTCAAAATTAGTTTGCGCCACCTAATTCGCCAATCAGAAAAAGTTGAGGCCAATGGCTCCAAAGTTGGAGCCAATAATTCTGCAAGGGAGACATGTCTAGATCTTTGTTAAGATATGCTAGCAGTTATACTGTGCTCCTCTTAGTTCACGTTACTTAATGCTTTGAAACCAGACATAAAACAACAAATGAAACCTATGGTACAAAAATTGTCATAAGCTATAACATATAGGTATTTTCTGCTGTATTGCACAAGGAAACAACATTATATTCAAAGTCAATTTTAATGGACTAAACATAGACCATATGTCGGCCATTTTGAAAGAAGTATGTCATCATTTAAAATGCGGTAATGGTGTAACATTTCAGTTTTTTCATGTTTCAGTTAAAATTTCTACGTGTTATTTTGCTTGATTTTTAATATTAAAATTATTCTTACTTGTAACTCAAAATTTATTATTTCAACAACAAGAACATTTAGAAAATGATGATTGTTTCAGGCATATGCACAAATTTAATGGACTATTGTTGCTTTTTGCAGAAATTTGTAAAATGTTGTTCTGTTTTACATAAAAATCTAGAGATTTAAAATATTTTGCACAAAAACTTTGTTGTTTAGGTATATGAATAAAATATGTCAATTCTGACCAATTTTAACTCTGGTAACATGAAAATATGCCATTACTGTGAAATAAGTGTATACATGTATGTCTATTCCCTGAATAAATCGATACGATAAGTGATGACGCGGAATTAGTGATGTTGAGTATATATATCATTATGATTACAAACACATACTTATATTTCATTTTATTACAGATGCACATGTTTATTATCTAAAATATAAACATAGTATTTACTATTATGTGGTTTTCAAATTCCATTTAAATAAATACACATGACAGCACAAATGTAATCAATAACATCATTTTAAGTTAGTAATGAAGTTGGGAGGTCCTGTTTTCCACTGTTTTGCCTATAGCAGTTCTTATAACTTATTCACTCTCACTTACTGGACTGAGTCAAGATCTTTCCAGCTTCTACCTGACATTCTGGTGATATACAGATAAAAAAAAACCCCACAACATCACTATAAATTGACTTCATCTAAAAATAAATGAGAACTCAAAATGAAATAGATACTAAGTACTTTTTAAAAATGAAAAAAGACTATTGTTTATTTTCATAGGTTTTGCATGGGATTAGACAGTTCAGCACTTTAATATCATATTGAAAAAAAGTGATTTACTGACTTTTGTATTTAAAATAATCATATTTAAGTACTAAAAGTTTAAGAAAATAAATTAAAAAAATTATCTTGAATTATAAATATTAAAATCATGTCAACAAAGATGTTCCAAATAAAGTACACGACTCTGCTCTAATCGGTTCCCCGAATGACGTCATACGAGGTCTCGCGTAGCTCCTAAATGTCATGGCCGACTGTAGTCCGTGTTATTAATGTTTCACATTTAAACAGGCAATTTTAATGACGGTATTAATATTTTGATACATTAAATAGTATAGAAAGATATTAAAATAATTGTTTTATCATAAAATGCACAAGAATTGATTGGGACAAGGGCATTTGCAAATGGAAATAAGGTTAAATCAACTTACGTTATTCTGGTTATGTTTTGTAACAGTTCTAATCCAAAACTTTAATGCCCCATCAGATGAAAAACAAAAATATTAAAAAGCAGCTTATAAAGTTTTGGAAGCCAGAACTAGTCTTAAGCCAATCAGAACAGTGTTCGAAATTAGCAGTAGTCTGATAGCCCCTGACTACTAAATTTCTCCTCGGGCTACCAACTTTTCACAGTACCAAGCCCGACCATATTTTCAGAGGCAATATAAACAACTGTTTTGAACAAATGAATCATGCTAGTGAAATGTCTTTTGGGATAGTTAATATTCCAATCTGATAGTCCGACCAGCCTAGTGGATTCAAATCCGAATTTCTTACACTGTCAGAATGACAATATTAAATCAAGGTGTTGCAGCAGATCTCTCATGTTGTGTTTTGTGACAATTGACATAACTATGTCGGCAAAAAACTCAAAACATATTGTTCTATATTGATAAATCTTGAAACAGACTTTAGTTGTTGAAAAGCTCCGCCTTTATAGCATGCTATTTAATCAGTACTTATTTAGTTGTTAATTTAAAAAGTTTATTTCATAATGCCTTTAAGATTAATTGAATGAAATGACATGTGTATAACTTTTCGACAGGTGCTTTCCTTTAAATACTTATTAACCCATTACCACATGAGCATTTTGTGAAAAATGGCAGTTTTCATTGAAAGCCTCCTGTTACAAGTTCAAATGAAACTATAAAAAATGTTTAAATATCAAACTTGGCACAAATATTTTCTGGACCATAGCCTTTGTAACAGCATACTCGATCTTAAATTCCCTATTACCATGGCAATGATGGGACATCTCAAAATAAAGTGACATACCATATAAATTGTAAAAGGATCACCTGTTTTGATTTTCTTGGAGTAATATAATGTGTTTGAGGAGAACACTTTTGAGTTAAAAAAAAACAACAATCTTTAGACTATATCAATATGTCAAAAGTTAAAATATTCCATTTTGTGGGAAAATTTTAGGTACAGTATATGTATGTATTTTAGATAAAGCAGGAAGTACCAAGTGTTAATATTGGCCGTAAATTATTTTATGCTGAAGAAGATGAAGTTGAAAAGAGAGATGTTAATAAAGATGTGGAGCTTTTTCAGAGTGCTTGTGGAGACATTCAGAGAACAATTGCTGAAATCAAGACATTGAAAGAGTCGAAAGGCAAAAATGCTGTAAATATCATTATTTTCTTGTCTTTAGTTGTTAAGATGTCTCCTCAATACTTCTTAAAGGATTCTTTGGATTCTTGTATAGAAATTTAATCAACAATCTTTTCACTGAGTATATATGTATTTTATATTTATGCTTGTTCCTTTTTCTTGTATATTTGTATATAATTATGTACATGTATACTGGCGGCAGTAACATAATTTGTCACTATTCAGTATTAAGCAGGTTGTCTGTAATGTATAAAGAAGAATTAAAAGGTTATACTAAAAAAATCTGTTATACAATTGAATAGAATCGATCTTTAAGTGGCCCATGCTTTGCAAGTTTAATCAGTAGTTTTGTCGGTAAAGGAGTTGTCATAAGCAAAAATGGAGACTTGTGACTGACACAGCACTTTTGGACACTTTTTTGACAAAAAATAAGGCTTAAGTTTGTATACTTACTGAAAAACTTGTTTATATGTATATGTATTTATCCAAATGGTATGATATTATCGATCCGATATTTATATACTATACTTATATGATATTTCTATATAAACAGGCAGCAGAGATTGAGAGTAAGCGTATGGAAGGTATGTTACAGATAGTCATGCTGAAGAAACTAAATAGACTTGCTCATATTAGATGTAAGAAGGTCAGGGACGGCACTAACGAGGTAATTAATCATCACAATAGTGCTTTTTAAAAGACTGACCTGGGGAAATATTATTTGACTGCATTTCCATTTTCAAAAGTGTGTAATTTTCCAATATTACTGAAGAGACACACAAGTCTTCTTTTCTTTCTTTTTTTTTTGAGATCTATGAGGAATGTCCGGAAAGTTCATATATAGCATCATGGAGCCCTTTGACAGCGTCAACGACGTCAAATTACCTTCATGTTTACCCGCTATTCAATTTCTTCCGATTTCAACAGACATGGTACATGTCTGGCGTATACTTAATATATGTTGTGTTGCTTTTACTATAAGAATTTCATATTTAAAGTTATAATTTAAAAACAAAAATGTCACTGGTTCCCATACTGTGTGTGAGATGTCTGTCTATTTCAAAGGTTGTTGTAACGAAATATACGATATCTCCCCCATGCTACCTTTAGGCGTCTGGGGCGTTTCTTATACGATATACTGCCATCGCCGCTTCTGAATCTTGTTTGACATTTAAACACAAGTTGCCTTTAAAATTTTATGTTTGGTTTTGTTTTTAAAGTAAAGATTAAAATCTCAGCTGGTGCCATATTAGCGTTGCTATGTAGTTAAATATCATTATGTTGCTCCGTCCGTAAATTCGACGTCATTTTCGCAACACAAAATTTATACACATTCATTGCCTTAAATCGTCGTTAAAAGCTGTTTATTTACGTATGACATCATAATTTTCACTAAATATCATGTAATAGTATCTCATGATGTCACAAAATTAAAACGAGAGTTAGAGTTAAAATTACAACATTTATTAACTTATTACTCGAGTAGCTATCGTCATAAAATCAAAGTGCTCCGTGATTCATTGATCATGTTGCCATGGTGATCGGCGCTTTGCAAATAATACTGTTATGGTGTTTTTTAATTAAGACATATGTAGCGAATGAATACTTTAGCAAAATATTCAATATTCATCTTGATAGTGACTGTTTATAGTAATTTAATAGTCTTGTCTACGAACTTTCCGGACAACCCTCGTATTTTACCAAAAGAAAGGGACATTTCTTTGTAGTTTGAAATGATAACAGTGATGATTAAACATCAAATGTTATATTTTCTCCATTTCTAAATTTGCCCTAATTTTCTTCTCCATGATTCAATTTTCCCCTCACAAAGTCCTTGCCACCATAGCCCTAAAATGAAAAAAAGGTCTGCAATGTAACTATAGTCTGTCCCATTGAAAATGGAAAGGAACTTTTGCCTGGTATGAATTAACAAAACGAGATTGAATAAAAATTAAACTATTTTTGTAAACTAAAAAAAAGTCACCCTCGAGATTTTTCAGGATTTTACTCTAAAATGTCTACTTTTCTTGTGAAATCAAATTTTGATTTCTCTATGGTAAATCTCTGTTGTTTATTTTCCGTAGCCATTGCCGAAGTACTCTTCATTTGAAGATGAACGGGAGAAAGCACGTGTCATGTTTCCAAAATATACATGAGGTTCTCGGGGTCGTTTCATAATTATTTTAAAAAGCTGGATCTACAAGATGTAACAGTTTAGTTGCAATGCATGATGTTAAACTTTTAAAAAAATGAAAAATAAGCAACAAGAACACCGAGTCACATGAACTGCACTTACTTTTAAGCTGAATAAAATCCCTTGGAATTCGAAATAGATCTTTATAAACGTCACAACAAATTCGCATTCTGAAGATTCCTTCATTGCCAGTTTCTATCCAGTTCCGTAGATCTTCAAAACTCCTAAATGTCATGACCCCTACACTAATGATGATCCAGATTTTTTTTAAACTGTTAATCCGTCTCAATATTAGGCTAACACATTGTTCAATTTGTGGAGTTATATGTGGGTTAGCAAATGAAATATGTACATGAAACATATCATAATTCAGTATGTTCCAAATCCATAATTCAAAAACGGCCCATCAATTTTAGTTGTCAACATCACAATGTTTATAACTCTTGAAAATACATTCCTGACGAAAAAACTTTATTACGTCAACAACAATTTACGAAATGTATGACGTAACAAAAATGCCTCGCGCTTTTTATGGATGATTCCGGGTGCGGCATTGACAGAGGGCGGTAAGGCATATGTTACCTCATACATATAATTTTAAGCCTTGAGATAAATTTGTCTTGATGGTATTTAAGATAATTTTTGTATACCCAGATTTTGCAACTTAACTGTTAAAATTACACCTTCAATTCATTTATTAACAATAAAACTTTTGATAACATTTGAATAATTTTAAACAGACTTAATGACAGTACAATACTTCTTCCATTAATTCACATATAACCTTCGTTTTTATTAAATATGCTTTTAAACTATTTTATATATTTCTTAGAAATGATTTCCCTACATATTATCTCGTTATTCAGGACGTCAGTAAATCCTACTCTTTTAGCTATAAAATATACAATACGCGGTATTTTTCTCCCGCGAAAAATATGCTATCGTTTTTTTTTTGTTTTTTTTTCACTGAATATTTTCAAATTTTAGGAAGGCTAAAATTATTGAGGACTTCGCTCGGTGTTTCTCTTTGACTCGATCTCCCCTTCATATTAACATAATGATGATATGTAACACTTATCGATATTTCTGGACATTTTGTTAAATTGTGGGACGGAAAGTTAAATCTGTATTTACGAACTTAAAGTGCATAGGTCTACGTTTGATTTCTCAAACTAGAAAGCATGACATTATATTCTTATTATTTACATTTTCCTCGAACGCGAGTTTTTTTTTATAGTGAATCAGTTCTCCTGTTTATATATTTCTTGTCAGATTTGCATGATAAAGTAGTATTTGTTGGCGATTTCTTGTGAAAGTTGAAACCTAAGGAAAGTGTAAGCGCTCGAACATATAGCACCCGAAATAAGAAGGGTAACATATTTTTGTATCCCATCGAACCTGGTCAATTTAATTATTTTTGAATAGACGAGATACATGCTAAAGGACAGAACTCAGACAACTACAGAATTATATGTAAATTAAACATTAATTAGCTAAGAACCATTTTTTATAGTCTTCTAGCTAGTGTTCCCTACGACACGTTGCTGTATTCAAGATACGCGCTTGATTGAAAAAGCACTTCATTGGTCTTTTTCTCTTTAAAAGAATATAAAATACGGCAGTGTATTATGGTAATTATATAAATCTTTGTGTGTTAGAATTTATATTTAGCGGTTACTGATGTTTTAACTTCAAAGATTTTGATTATTTTAAATAATGGTTTGCTAATAAAATTGCCTTTTTGACACCAACTGTGTTACATTTTTCATTTTAATGATAACATTTAGCTATTGATTAGTAAGTAAACAAGAATAATCAAATTTTTATAGTTACCGAGTATATTTCATGCTAATTGTGAGACGAACCCTAAATGACGTCTATATGGGCGCCGCCATTTTGAAATGGACGTCACGTCAGGTTACAACGTAAGTCAACGGGAAAAAACTATTATTTATCATTTTGACTATATTATTGAATTTATGAAAAAAATGAAAAACATGCCTAGAGATATTGACGTCAGGGTTAACATGATATTAATTTAAATGATTTTACTATTATATTAAATAAAAAATGGAATATTCAAATTTGATGGGACAGACTATAGCCTTTTTTTTGTATATTGCTTGATAACATGAACTATACAAGTCCTTGTCAATGTAAATTGATTCATGTTATGTTTTCACTATAAACACTGCTATAGTAAAACCATGCTTAATAATGTTATGCATGTTTAACAATAGCATAATGATAAATTCTTGGTTAAAGTGTTGCATGCAACATCAGTTTTCAACACTACTGAAGGTATTCACTTTAAACATGACACATGTCTTTTAGATCAGAATTGGAGGTCACTATCCAAGGTCTATAACTCTGGCATGGATTTTGACTGAAGTATGGCCCTTTTCTGACATAGAAAATTCTTTGTTAAAGCATGTTTAGGGAATTATGCCCCCTTTTCTTTCTTTGCTTTCTTTTTACTATCAGCACTGAGAAAAGTGGAGTATGTTGCCCATGGACAGGTCTTGTTTAAGTTACTATTGACAATGTTTTGGAATTGTTTATTGTAGGCGAAGATGAGAATAGACCGCTGTCATCTACAAGTACAGAATCTTCTCTATGAAATCATGCATCTTGAAAAAGAAATAGTCAAATGCTTAGGATTCAAGTAAGTTCACTATTTTTATTTGCTTGTTTTATGTCATATTTAAAAAAAGAAGAACTTAATATAGGCTATTGATTAAATCTGTTGGATGTTTTGATTTATCTGATTGCATTAATTTGTAGCTACAGAAAAAAATGCTGCACACAAAATATTTTCTTGGATTGAAGTTAGTTTTAGCAAGTACATGAAAATAATGTATGATAAAAGTTATATTTCTATGACTTGGGCCTCGAATAGGACCGATGAAGACTAGTTATGTAACCTTGTATCATTTATTACAGCAGGAACTAAGTACATGGATTGTTTGAATGTTCCTTTATTTTTATTCATTCTGCAGAATTTGTTGTTAAAGTAGTCTTTCTGCGGGATTTATTTAGGTAGTCATTCTGCAGAAGTTGTTGCTATGTTACTCTTGGTAATCATTCTGTGGGATTTGTTCTTAAGGTAGTCATTCTGTGGGATATGTTCTTTTAAAAGGTAGTCATTCTGTGGGATATGTTCTTAAGGTAGTCATTCTGTGGGATATGTTATTAATTAAAGTACTTTTGGTAGTCATTCTGTGGGGTAGTCATTCTGTGGGATATATTATTAAGGTACTTTTGATAGTCATTCTGTGGGATTTGTTCTTAAGGTAGTCATTCTGTGGGATATGTTCTTAAGGTAGTCATTCTATGGGATATGTTATTAATTAAAGTACTTTTGGTAGTCATTCTGTGGGATTTGTTCTTAAGGAAGTCATTCTGTGGGATATGTTCTTTTAAAAGGTAGTCATTCTGTGGGATATGTTCTTAAGGTAGTCATTCTATGGGATATGTTATTAATTAAAGTACTTTTGGTAGTCATTCTGTGGGGTAGTCATTCTGTGGGATATATTATTAAGGTACTTTTGATAGTCATTCTCTGTGGGATTTGTTCTTAAGGTAGTCATTCTGTGGGATATGTTCTTAAGGTAGTCATTCTATGGGATATGTTATTAATTAAAGTACTTTTGGTAGTCATTCTGTGGGATTTGTTCTTAAGGAAGTCATTCTGTGGGATATGTTCTTAAGGTAGTCATTCTTTGGGATATGTTCTTAAGGTAGTCATTCTGTGGGATATGTTCTTAAGGTAGTCATTCTATGGGATATGTTATTAATTAAAGTACTTTTGGTAGTCATTCTGTGGGGTAGTCATTCTGTGGGATATATTATTAAGGTACTTTTGATAGTCATTCTGTGGGATATGTTCTTAAGGTAGTCATTCTGTGGGATATGTTCTTAAGGTAGTCATTCTGTGGGATATGTTTTTAAGGTAGTCATTCTATGGGATATGTTATTAATTAAAGTACTTTTGGTAGTCATTCTGTGGGGTAGTCATTCTGTGGGATATGTTATTAAGGTACTTTTGATAGTCATTCTGTGGGATTTGTTCTTAAGGTAGTCATTCTGTGGGATATGTTCTTAAGGTAGTCATTCTGTGGGATTTGCTCTTAAGGAAGTCATTCTGTGGGATATGTTCTTAAGGTAGTCATTCTGTGGGATATGTTCTTAAGGTAGTCATTCTGTGGGATATGTTCTTAAGGTAGTCATTCTGTGGGATATGTTATTAAGGTACTTTTGGCAGTCATTCTGTCGGATTTGTTCTTAAGGTAGTTATTCTGTGGGGTTTATTGTTAAGGTAGTAACTCAGCAATATTAATATAATTGTAATCATTCTGTCGAAATTTATTGTTAAAGTCGTCCTGTATTTTTTAATGTTTAAGTAGTCATTCTGTGGGATTCATTTTTAAAGTAGTCATTTGTTTATCAGGTCAAAAGATGAAGAGATAGATCTTATTCCGGTGGATCAATTTTATGAAGAAGCACCAGAGGAGATATCCAAGCCAGTATGTACTAATTTATTCAAAATAGACATTGTTTGCCATCATTATACGTTTTGTATTTAAATGTTATTTGATATAGTTATCTGTACATGTACATATATATTTACAATGAAACATGTTTCAGCATCTTTTGCAAAGAAATAACCTGTGGGTAATATCTGGTATTCTACCATTTTAAATAATACTATTATATTTCTGTTAAAATACATTAAAGACAGTTTTTTGTTTTCTGTTTGTGAGCAATATTTTTATGAGCCTTACCTTTTGTAATGATTTTCTGTCTTTGTTTGGTGCTAATTTCACTGGCTTTCAGACTGTGTAACAACTACTAAAATGTAGCATTCTGGACAAATGTTATATAAATTAAAATTGAACATTATTGTATGATAATTGATATTGTGATAATTGAAAGCAAAGTTTTATTTTGAAACTAGTCTTCAGTTTGTTTTCTAACTGTATTCTGTTGGACACTTCAAGTGTTAAATAACTGAAATATTTAGCAATCATAATATAATTATACTTGATACACTCATCTCTGATGTTTTTATAATTGATTTAGCTAGATCATTATAAAACAAGGTTAAAAAGCACAGCATTAATCTAAATGTTAATTAACCAAAATGAGAGGCACACATTTTTCATGGATAATCAATTATTTCAATTTTATGCTCAAAAGTATTGAAAGAAGTCATAATATGCTGTTTTTGAAGTAGATTTTGCGAGTTTTCTGATGTTATTAATACCCCTTTGATAATTCATTTTTATTGGTACATTGAGAATATGTATGATTGTTACAGGAGAAGACAAAGACAGACAGTCATCAACTAACATTATCCAGACTGGACTGGGAGCTAGAACAAAGAAAACAGTATGTGTCTTCATTAAGATGTATACTATTATAATACAAATGTAGTTATTCACTGTATATGAAATAGGAAGGGGGATTTTGGAATACCTTTGTCTATATGTCAGTCAAAGTGACTAGATTTAATTTATCATCTGTGTAATTAAACTTGGTCTATATATATATATTTGCCCTGATGATCATAAGAGAAACCGGTTGGCAAATAATTAAATAAGTTAACTCATGGACTGTGTTTTTTGTTTTATTTATATGTGACTTTTTTCCGGCACTTGTTTTCATTTTTTGTATATATATATATAATACAGATGTAGTTTTTTGCTGTATATGAAATAGAAAGGGGGATTTTGGAATACCTTTGTCTTTCTGTCTGTCCAAGTAACTAGAATGAATTTATCATCTGTGTTATGAAACTTGGTCTGAATGTATATATTTGAATGTTGAAATGAGGATAATTTAATCCAATCAAAATCAACCAATAGATTATTGAATTTTTGCCTATGAATTATGAACATATAGATGAGCATAGTGTTTATGTTTTTTAATGCCATCAAAATAAAAGTGTATGAGAGAAGATTTTCCAGTTTTGCCTCCAAACTTGAGCAAATTTATGTCATTGTTTTTTACAGACTGTCAGAAAAGTTAAAGGATGCTGTAAAAACTAAGGAGGATATAGAAAACGAGATAAAAAACTAAACAAGAGCATCTAGAGAATCTACAGCCAAAACTCAACAACATATTACAGGTTTATTTAGCATATGCAATTTAAAAATTATAGAAATATATAATAACAATATTTTGTAATTAGGCTTGCATGCTTTATATCTGATTGCATCGCTGATATTTTGTCACTGATATTTGATTACATCTTATTGGCTTATCTAGGTTACCTGATTATCACAGTATGTGTACTGGATGAAATATGTTACTGTATTTGCCAGAATTCAATCTAATGAAAATATTTTTTACAAATTAAAAGGTCTGAGTGCAGCTTATATACAGTATAAATTAAAAAAAGAATTAACTATTTCACTGTTTTATGAGTCCTTTTTATTGACAACAATGTTAAAGCTGCAAAATAAATGATCTCTTTAACAATTGTTTAGTAAGGTGGTTTTGGTATGTTGAGAATTAGATAAAGGCTTTTTAGTACAAAATGTTTTTTTAAAGTAAATTAAACTCAATTAGATTACTTTTGTGCAAACGAGACAATAGAATCTAATGCCTTTGATTCTTATAGAAGAGCTTGAAATCCTAAAATGTTATATTTATGAATGAATTACTAATATATTACATTAGATTCCATGCTAGGCATAAAATTACAGAAAAACATTAAATTTTGCAGTTCATACTTTTTGATGATTTAATTGTTCATTTATTTTTACAGTCTACGAAGCCAGTACAAGAGTATCTAGATATGCCATTTGACAGTGTTAGAGAAGAGCATATGACTGCCCAATTCTTACCCCATCCACTGTATGTGCTGTATATGCAATGTAGTGCCTACAAGGATGCCTGTGGTATATTATATTATATTTACTTTATCTACTGAGGTCAAAAAACTTAAAATTTGAAATTTTTACATCAATTAAGTTAGAGTGATATGATATTTGACTGAATTCATGGCATATTGTTTATATAATGTTTCCTTGAGGGGTGTTTGTTTCTTTCTTTAAAACATAAGTTTTGTCTGCTGGTTTTAGTGATTCACATAGACTTAAAAGTCTCCAAACTAGATATACTTAATATCATACTAAGTCATAATAATTATACATAATAAAAAAGTTATTTTAAAAATTATTTTGTTAACGTAAGTTACACATGGAAGATAGAATATGAATTTTTTTGTTATTATTTTCAGACAGCAGAATGAAAGTGAGTTTGGAAGGAGACCTGAATGCGGCCAAGTCTCTGGATTTATCAGGGCCCTCAATACTTGGTAACATAGTTTAATAGTCCTCCATTGATGATGTTAGAATGAGGATGTTGCAATATATTTTATAATTTATTTGTCCAATTTCAATGAATTTGACATTAAAATAAATGGGAATTGAGACTCATTAAGTGATATCAAAATACAGTTTTAATGTTATGAACTTTTGTTACTTAATAAAGGCATTTCCTTAAGAAAATTTAAATTTTCAGCCATATTTTGCCTTAAATTGTAATGAAATTCATTGAAAATTACATTATGGCCCTTTATAACTTTGAGATTGACATTTAAATGAAAAAAAATTTATCAATTCTGAGAAGCTAGATCTTGGTTGATATGAAAATCAATGAAATAACCTGGACTTAGTTGAACTTATTTTTAATGGAAAATTTGACCAAATGAAGAAATAAGATTCCAAATAAACATTTTTAATGATTTATAAAGATTGCAAATAACATACTATCATGTTACACTGTTACAGATGAGGACAGTGAAAGTGACCAAGAGGAACCAGAAGAACAGGAAAAGAAAAACAGTGTATGTAATCACATGATAGTCACATGATAATAGTTTGGTAGTGAGCCAGTGATTTTAAAATATACTAGAGGAGACTTTACTGAAATGATATTGTCTGGTCAGTGTATCCATCACCTGTGCTCTATAATTCCATAATTCCACCATAAATAGTTTTATTCAAACTTTAGTGAAATGTTTCAACAAGGCAATATGTAGAATCGATGCTGCACAAGATCAAAGTCACCCTTGAAGTTCAAAAATCAGGCAGTTTTGTATCTGCTCTAATTATCCTAAACCTTTGAAGACAAAATGTTTACATTGACATGGTGATATGCAGAACCCATGCTTTTGGTATGCCAGCTCAAAGTCCAGGTCATCCTTGATGGTAAAATCTTAGGCAATTTCATGTCTGATGTATAAATTCTACACCCCTTCAATCTACACCCCTTCAATATTTGTTCAAATGGTCACTTCAACAAGATGTGCTGCTGTCGCATCCCAAGGTCACCATAAGGGTTAAATGTCAGACAATTTTGTGTCCACAATATTAATCACATTCCTTGAAGAACAAATTATCTGCAAACTTTGCTTAAATGTTAACCTAGTTAACCCCTTTTTCGACTTAGAATTTACGTTAAAGTTTTTGTAATAGTTCAAATATTTTCAAAGTCCATTGACATATGGCTTTGAAACTTTGCACACTTGTTCAACATCATGACCCCAACCTGTAAACAGGAGGAGGTAACTCTATCAAGCATTTTGACAGAATTATGCCCCTTTTTCGACTTAGAATTTACGTTAAAGTTTTTGTAATAGTTCAAATATTTTCAAAGTCCATTGACATATGGCTTTGAAACTTTACACACTTGTTCACCATCATGACCCCAACCTGTAAACAGGAGGAGGTAACTCTATCAAGCATTTAGACAGAATTATGCCCCTTTTTCGACTTAGAATTTACGTTAAAGTTTTTGTAATAGTTCAAATATTTTCAAAGTCCATTGACATATGGCTTTGAAACTTTGCACACTTGTTCACCATCATGACCCCAACCTGTAAACAGGAGGAGGTAACTCTATCTAGCATTTTGACAGAATTATGCCCCTTTTTCGACTTAGAATTTACGTTAAAGTTTTTGTAATAGTTCAAATATTTTCAAAGTCCATTGACATATGGCTTTGAAACTTTGCACACTTGTTCACCATCATGACCCCAACCTGTAAACAGGAGGAGGTAACTCTATCAAGCATTTTTTTTTACTATCAAGCACTAAGAATAGTCGAGCGTTGCTGTCCTACCGACAGCTCTTGTTTACGTACAAAATAAATAGTGCAAAACTCTTTTGAAAGTTTTTCAAACTAACAGAACTATAATCATTTATGTGGCATATTGTTGGGTTTAATGATTACACCTTTTTAATGCACTATATCACCATTTTAGTAATGGATTATTGGCAAAAATCTTTGTTTTTGGACACTTCACTGTCATATGTTTATTTAACCCATTACTTCATGAGCATTTTGTGAAAAATGGCTGTTTTCATTGAAAAGTCTCCCGTTACAAGTTCAAATTGCTATAATACTATAAAAACTTTGCTTCAACACTAATCAAACTTGGCACAAATGTTGACTGGACCATTGTCCTTGCAACAACATGCTCAGGCTTAAATTTTCTTTA